CGAGAGTGACCGACAGCGGTTGGGGAAGCCGGCTTATCAAAACTACTGAGGACAGTACTGAAACCAGAGATGCGGCGAAGCCTTCAGAAGAAGTGGATGCGTTGCAGAGCGATGACACGGCGAAAAGAGGAAAGAACCGTAGCGGTCGCGATGACCGTGGTGGTCGTGGTGGCCGCGGTGGTCGCGGACGAGGTCGTGGTGGCCGGCAGGGAGGAGAAGAGAAGATCACAGAAAAGTCCTCAGCGAGGTGAGACGAGATACTAAGTTCTCTTACCATGTGCCCTTACCCCTTGGCAGCCAATTTCCTCCAAAACTGACCGGACGGTTCTGCATCAAGTTGTTCGAGAGTTATTCGGTGGGAAGCTTGACAGCGAGACTGATATGTCGACACCTGCTGGAGACGATGGATCTCGCATAGTTATAAAATGGTCACGCCATGGTGGTGGTCGCGGTGGTGGTCGCGGAAGCCGTGGAGGTATGTTTCACCATTTGTTTCAAGGGATTCTTATCACTCTTCTGATATCTTCGTAGGTCGGGGCGACCGCTCGGACAGGGGGAACCATCCTCCTTATATTCATTTTACTCTCCAGAAAACCAACCGTGATACCCAAGACGCTCTCGGCTACTTATCACGTACTCTCCATGTAAACATAAAAGACTTGGCTGTTGCGGGGACAAAAGACAAACGCGGCGTTACCGTCCAGCGCGTGTCGTTGCGACGCGGGAACAAAACTGTGGAGGATATATGGAAATCTGCGAATCAATTCAACAGGCGATCCGTGCAAGACATATTGTCCCAGCGTGGTGACCGTGGAGTCAGAATAGCGGATTTCAATTATCGCAAGGCTGGTTTAGAGCTTGGTATGCTGAAAGGAAATGCCTTCGTTATCACACTTCGGTATGTTTCAAGTGGTACTGTTCTGAAACTTCGTTGACAAAGTTATGAAGTAACGTTCAGGTAGAAAATGTAGAAACTCTTGACCGTGCCATGAACTCGATCAAGCACAAAGGGTTCATCAATTACTACGGTGTGTTCGATATCCAGCAAACTACTGATTCGTCTGAAGTACAACTCTAGGGAATGCAGCGCTTTGGGACGGCCGCAGTGCCAACTCACTCCATTGGCTTGGCGATTCTGAAATCTGATTGGCACAAAGCTGTTTCCCTCATCCTCCAGAACCGGCCTGGAGAACACCCTGAAGTTGTCGCAGCCCGTGACGCGTGGTTAGTGGATGGTGATTTGGATCGTGCCCTGGCTTTAATGCCCAGACGGGTGGTTGCGGAGCGCTGCATTCTCGAGAGCTACAAAAAGCAAGGTGGAGAAACCAGGAACGCAATGGGTGCCTTGTCTACGGTATGTCAAGATTCTAGTAACATTGCTGTTATTCATAAAGTTCAATCTAGATTCCTCGAAACTTGCGGCTCATGTATGTCCATGCATACCAATCCTACGTGTGGAATGCCATCGTCTCGGAACGAATTCGTATACATGGTCCTGACAAAGCGGTACCTGGTGATATTGTTTTCGAGAGCGAGCCAGCCACTAAGGGAGGGAGTGGAGAGAATGATGGGATGGAAGTGGACGATGATGCGGGTAATGATAATGAGAAGCAAGCCACCACAGAGGAAAAGGGTCAGTTTCTTTTCTATTTGTTATGTTGTTCTGATTGAAATTTTGTCATTTGAGGCATGAGCTCTCGTGAGCGCAAGAAAGCTGCCAAGGCTGCTTATGTTGCACCCAGTATCAAGATACTCACTGAAGAGAATGCCCACCAGTATTCGATATTTGACGTAATCATGCCACTCCCGGGTAGAGATGTTGATTACCCAGGTGGTACGCTCGGGGAGCGCTATCGGGAATTCCTGCGCTTGGATGGACTCGACCCGGATAACTTCATCCGCAAACAAAAGTACGCTAGATCCGTCATACCATAAGCGAAACTGACAGGACATCTCCAGAGAGTACACTCTTAATGGCTCCTACCGGAAAATCCTCCAGGTTCCAAAAGATCTCTCGTGGTCTATACTCAGGTACACAGACCCAGACGTCCCACTTGCACAAGCAGACGAAGACAAGCTCCTTGGGTTTGACCCACCAGCTGTCGTCGACGATGGGAAATTTCGCGCGCTCCAGATAAACTTAACACTCGGGACGGCCGCATACGCTACGATGGCATTGCGAGAGATTACCAAGACTGAGACAAGTTCGCATTTCCAGACTGGTCTTACTCAGGCTTCTGAAGACCAGCAGTTCCGAGGTGTAGTAGCAGGAGATGTTGCAGAATTGGATGACGGTGACACAGAGATGGAAGTATCAAATACGTTGGATTCATAGTAGTAGAATGTCTTGTGTAGTAGGTCCGGGTATTTATTGTATGTCCAGTCCACCTTTCGGGGGAAAGTACCCACAGTCCACACAGCCGATAACGCAGTGCATATGTGATGAACCGCTACATATGTACCGCCTCTGTGTAATTCATCCAAACAACTAGCACTCTGGTGTGCTCGCAACTGGTTTGCGAGTCACTTTTCCCATTAGCTGAACTTCCGTTATTTAGATCGCCAAACTTTTGACGTGGCCTGAATCGTATTCACTTGCGCAGTTCGAACGCGGGTCGTGAATATCATCCTCTAAGCTTGCGCCTCTGAAAGAGAACATGGGAAAAGTAGAACGTATAGTCTTTCTGTCGCTCGTTCTTGATCTCTTTGGTGAGTGCCAATGCCATGCTCAGTTTTGAAATGAGTCTGAAGCCTCGGCAAAGCATTTACAATCCCTCTACCCTTGTTTCCTCGTATAATCGAGTGGTATACGGTGGTAAGTACCCCATGTTACGTGTCTCCAGTTCCTTCATTGATTATGTAGAGAGAAATTTCCGACCCCAATGGCCTCCTTTCCAGAACACTGCGGTTTGTTTCGGCGGTGCGAGGCATCTTCTACAAGCCACTACAAAACTCCCAGAGATGGGATGTAGTTTTCCTTGGTTGGTCTAGTTTCAATCATAAGACGTGGTTTATACTGATCTGATAATTATTCAAAGGTGGTCTGATGGGTTCCGCTTTCTCGTATGTCTTCGAGTCGCGTTCCCAGTTTATTTAAGGTCATATTCACTTAGTATTTGCAGCACTCTACAGTTCTTGGTATCGCCGCATATAGGATCTCTCTCCGACACTTATGGGCGCAGGAATGTGCTCTTGATCACTATGATAGGAAATATATTGTCCGCGCTCGTGTGAGCACTGAAGTCATTCTTATCATCGAGTTCCTGAACCGATTCTCCGCCAGTTGGATCCAGTCCACCACTTTTGCTTCTTACATGCTTTCCCGCATCATAGGGGGTCTTAGTGAAGGCAATGTGCAACTTGCTACGTCAGTTCTCTGTCATAATCCAAGGACTGGAACTGACTCACATCGTCAACAGTGCCATCCTCTCTGATATTTCAACGCCTAGGAACCGATCTAAAGCCCTTGCCCATGTTGGAATTGCGTTTGCTATCTGTTTTTGTATTGGGCCCCCGATCGGAGCCTATTTTGCCTCGAGGCCAGTTCCCCTATTTGTAGGGGCTCTACAAATGGAATTGAACGTCTACGCGGTCCCGGCATTATTGACGCTCGTACTGCTTATCGCAGAGACCTTGTTCCTAACAGTTGCTCTTCCCGAAACCCGAAACACCCAACCCGACAAGCCAGCAGTCCATGTCAACGAGAAGTCGAATGCTGCTCCTGCGGTACGGAGTGTGCAAGAGAGGACTGAAATTTTGCGGGTCTTGCGCAAGCTCCATTTCCTTTTCTTAGGAATCTTCTCAGGCGTGGAATTCACCCTCACTTTCCTCACCTTCGATCGTGCGTCATTGTTAACATGCTCCTGAAATTATGCCTTAAAAACTCCGATGACAGTATTTGATTGGAATAACAAACAGAACGGAGCATTAATTGGCTCCATTGGCATCATCAGTGCTCTTTTACAGGGAGGATACGTCCGTCGTGTCATCTCCAAAGTAGGAGAGGGGAAAATGGCACAACGAGGGGTCTCGAGCTGCGCACTGGGCCTCGTGTTCCTAACTATCCTTCCTCACTTCGTGTCCACTCAACCGAAAATCGCTGTCGGACTGCTGCGAGCCGCAGCGGTCTGTCTGGCTTTCACTTCCGCGACAGTTGTAAGTTCGCTTACTGCACATGCCTCCCTCCAGTGCGACGAGGGCTTCGACAAAGATACAGGCAAACCTGCGGCTGTATATCCTGAGTTGGCCAAGGGCAAGGCACTAGGTGAATTCCGGTCATCAGGTCAGCTGGGTCGCGCAATAGGGCCGTTGCTTGGTAAGTTTTATGTCATGTCCGAAAGGTAAGGCTGGCTGACTTGATTTGCACTCGTCAGCATGCGCGTCATATTGGACCTTCGGGCCGTCTGTTACTTATGGTGTAAGCGCAATAGCTATGCTGACTTTGTCAGCGTCCATGAAAACCGTCGCCGTTCTACCGGGAAAATCATCATGATGCCGATCAGTAAGTTCTAGTGACTTTGCGCAGAACCTAAATTCTGATTCAAACCTTAAAAGTCGGAGTGGCGTCTCACCTAGTCGCAATCTAGAAATGCTTTACGGACTTGCAAAGCATCTGAGGGTGGCGTACTTCTTTAGAGCGATGTTCTAACCACTGCAGGAAGTCAATGGAAAATTAGATTTCGCACGCGAATCAGTCCAATTGTTATCAATATCAATATTCTATAGGAACACTAATAGATATGAATAGAACTTGGTGGATGGATGACTGTGAATTGCAGAACTCCAATGTTGCAAACCGCCACCTGAGAAGACAGCCGTGTAGGTATTATCAGGTCATGTCCCATGCAATATATCAAAGAAATATACGTAGAAATCATCATTCAAAAGCAGAATTTGGTATCTAAACGCGTTCCACAGCCATAGGTGAAGCAGGGTTCAATAGCGTTTTTACTAGAGTAGTGTGAGTAGCATCAAATAAAGTCAAGTGTTTCATCGCAATGCTATGAATTTTGCTGTTCGAGATCAATAAGCGGACTTGAAGACGAATGCGGAAGACGATTCTCCAACGGTGGCCGAGGTGATTGAGAGCAGCCCTGATGAAACTCGGCTGATTCATCTCCAACTCTACTCTCAGCCCCTCGCCAAAGCTTCTCAAGGGGTAACTGAGAAGAAGGGGGCAAATTCCGTCCAGAAGATGGTTGTGGAGGCGGGCTGCGCGTGAGAATGTCCATATTCTGGGATTGAGTAAAGATAGCCGGGAGGAAGAACATGACTCCTCTGGACCGTTGCCTCCGACCGCGAGATGGGGCGCGTGGCAACGCAGGCGGCTCTCGAGATAGATTCAAATAACCCGTGGCACGGTCTCGCACGCGACGCACAACATCAAGAATAGATGATGGCGCGCGATAACTTGACGTCGGAAATATGTCCACAGAAGATGAAATGTCGGAGGGTACGGGTGAGTCCGGTCTCAACTCAAAGGGAAGGGGCAGTAATGAAACATGTTCGTCCAACGGCGACTGGGGAGCGGAATTGATGGGAGATGATGGTTGCGTAGAAGCACCAGACGCTGGAAGGAAAGACCACCGCATGTCGATATGCCAGCGCCCATTGCGCTGAGTCCACCTAGGCAAAAGGACATCATATCCTCCAATTCTCCTGAGGCTATACTTTCGTTGCTTGCTAGGGACCGTGAGCTTGTAGATCCCATAGACTAGTATGGCCAAACCCAACCACAACAATCCTTTCCCCCACGTATTCAAGAAGCTGATTAATGCAGCATCGTTGGCATGCCAGCTGCTACCGTAATAATGGGCGAAGAATGAATGGGGAGCTTCTTCTGGTTTGGCGTTCTTGCCGTAGAGAGATTTGGGGAGGATTCGAACATCTCCTGGTTCGTACGGCGTGATAGGATGTGACGCCGTGTAAAGGCTGTACTGAAAAGAGAGGAACATGGGTCCTGTGGAGAACATGACGGTGGGATAGTTTAATATCCAAGAATGATCAAACGTGACAAGGTTGTGGATAGTCTGGGAGAGGAAAGGATGACCCTTTTCAGCAAACATGAGGTCATTGGAAACGCCGACAGGAATGGTCTTGGGTAAAATGACGGGATATATCAATAAGGGATCCAGAGGTCGCAGGCATCCAACGTCAAGGTCGAGATATATTCCCCCATAGTGATAAAGGATGAAATAACGAATAGCATCAACTCGTTGAATCGCAAACTCGTAGTCGTCGAACGTATCAAGAAACCAGGGGTAGTACTCTGCGATAAACTCGCGGGAGCTGGCGTCAGTCCAGAGCATGTAGTCGCTGTTAGAATAATGATGAGGACTTTGAGTGGCGGAGATGAGACGGATACGGACTAGTCGGACATCATGTTTCGACATGCCTCAGAGAGGAGTTTCCAATCAGCTGGAAGCGTCTCCGACTTCCAAGTCTGGTGGATAATACGAGGTATCCTCTCAAGCTTTCCATGTTCCGTTGCATTCCAGCGTGTTGTGTTGCTTAACACTGGGACCTCCCTGTCTGGAATATATGCTGCGGCATTGATGTAGAGGTAGTAAGAGATGGAAGACAAGACGACGACGGTGCCGGATAGAACAAGAGCAAGGAGAATAAGGAGAATATAAAGTGTACGTCGTTTTGCCATGAGGGAGACAGGAAGAAGAAGGAAAAATAGAGTAAAGAGGAGAAACTTGCCAAACAAGAACGCAACCGAGAACAGAAGGTTCATTTCACCCTTGCCAAATTTGGACCATGATTGAAACATTGTGTCAAGTCAACATTTACACATTCTGATTCTACCATAGCCTCATGCCTACGGTCTGCTTATCTCATGATGCATTAGTCTTACGGGGCGATTCATGGGAGACTTCGGTCACAGCCCCGTTGGCCGCATCGGCATCGCAAATACACGGCTGATGTGAAGTTCGGCGGCAGGCACTGACTCACGAATAGATCCTTCTTGCCAGTCATTGCCTATTTCCCTCAACCCCTTTAACGCCGTCTCCCAATCCCGTCGGGACCAGTCTTGACCTCTCCGTGCCCCCACACCTTCGTATGGCCGTGTCATGAAGGTGTCCACCCGTGGACTAGTCCTTGGCAGCCTTTTCTTCGCGCCTAGGTAGTCCAAACAATCTACAGCACCCCACGTTGCAAAATTCTTTCTTGAATAGGAAGGCGCGTGTTTCGATGCTGAGTTGCTGCAGCCAAAACTCCGCACGTCAGGGCCTGCTACACGAGCAACTAGTTCCAGAAGCAACCCCGTGAAATAATCGATCACTTGCACGTGGAGGAGATCTAGCGAGTGGCTTGGCTGTAGAAGCTGAGGTACAGAAGAGGCATCATCGTCGACATCCATTACGTCATCGTCTTGCTCTGGTGCAGGTGTCACTTGTATCAAATTCTCCAATGAATTTTGATAAGTTGCATGATATTTGCTGAACTTGAAGCGAGCAGCAGCCTCAGCCCCAAAGAGAGCTTCAGCAATATCCTGGCTAGAAAATGTGTTCCGACTGGGTGATATTGTCAACACAACTTCCCGCGTCGGTTACGTATGAGAACTTTGCACATGACAGATCATATTCATATACCTACATTCACTTTCGGCTTCCACGATTAAAAGCTTGTCTTTGCTACACAAAAATGTTCGCCGTTGTCGTAGGAAATATTTGCAGCAATCGATGATCAAACTGTCGTTGCTACGCTCTGAACCAAATTCCTACCATCCAAATCATCATCAAAGATGGAGCAAGGACTTATAACAAGACTTACCAGTACGGCATCCAGGTCCCTCTTTTTCCAATTTCCTGAGGCTTTGCACGTCTCGTTCAAGGCCTGGCCTTTGACCGACCTTCGTTCCTTCACCTTTTTCAGCAACCATGATGATGCTCTACGGGCAAACCAAGAGAGCCTCTCGCGATTCTTCTGCCTAGCAACCGATCATCAGGTGAGCGCTCTTCATACAGATTTATGCGATTTACCACCACACTCACCCATCAAGCTCGTAAATCACAACGCCCGGGATAATGATCAATACAGGCAATCCCCGCTCTTCAACCTCCGTGACGAATACTTGTATTACATCAAGATATTCCAGTAGTATGTTCGTGTCAAGGACGACGACGGTCAGTTCCTCCGATAGAGGAGCCTAGAGGTGGCGTGCAAACAATCAATACGAGGTCTGTTGGGACAGACCAAGCAGGCGTGATAGCGTACCTGCATTTCGACATCTCTTAGAGTTAGGCTGTTTGAGAATTCGTCGATACTCTTCAGCGTTTCAAATAGATGAGTACTCGGGGGAGACGGGGCTGCGATTTCGCGTAGTAAGGGACATTGGAACTTGAATGAGTGATGAGCGATAGGGTCCTCACTGTGCTTGAAATCTCCATCCCCAAAACCAGGTTGCTGTAGTGACAAAAGGTTAGAAAATGACATCGGATAGAACGTACTGGTCGTTGATTGAGTTGTTCATGCAGTCAAGAGTGACAAAACCGAGTTTTCTTGGGGAATGCGGAAAACGCGTGGAACAAAGACTATGTGCTAACCGGCTTTTGCAACTAATTTATAACAATGACAATACAATGACATTCTGTTGGAGTGGTTGTTTGGAAAACTCGGGCACTTCGCAATTATAGTCAATTCAATCATGATGTATATGATATGCGTTTGTTTAATACATGTGATGATGCTCAATAAGTACTCCAATAAAGATGTGGAAATCTATAATGCAACTCTCAGGGTGCAAGCGCCATCTTCTTCATAGGCGGTGTTCCATTACTCTCCATTTTGACAGAGGATTGACTGCAATCATCGATACTCGCCTTGCGCTTGAGTGTAGCGCGTTTAGAGTCGGGTGACCGAGACTGGGAAGACCGTACACTTGAGTTGCCCTTTTGGGGAGTAGCTCTAGAAGCATCTGGCGTGCCAGACCTGCTCCGACTGGTTGTATCTTGGCGTAATCTTGAAGCCAGAGTATGCATCGAACCCATAGCTTCAGCATAACATGTTGCGTGATATATCTAGGCCAATACGTTATTAAGATACTCATCATGGACGAGCCGATACGCACCTTATCATCCTTTCTGACAGCATTCTTCCAGACCCACTCCTCGTCATCCTCTAGGAACTCTGTCTTCAGAGTCTCTTTACATATGGGACAAGACAAGGACTTCGCTTCGTCGCCCGATGGCACAACAACGAACTGCGTGCGCAGCTCAGCATCACGCCGTGCTGCATCTACTGCAAGCGCAGCCTTATTGGTCGTAGGCCGAGGGCCGTCAGCACGGCCTTTACCCTTCACATCTACACGACCCTCGTGAACCCAATCCTGCAAAAGACGGTTAGCATGCTTGGGGTCCAACAAAAAGGGAAATCGTACATCAAGGTCGACAAACCAACTGCGACTATGTCCACGACCAAGGCTCTGATTTGCTTTACGATTTTGTCTGAAGTGCATGTCAAGATGATCCTCCATCTCTTTCTTTCCTAGTGTATCATCCGAAAATCTGACACCACACTGCTTACACTGGGCGGGTAATCGATCATACAACAAACGGTCAATATTAGGACGTTTTCTGCATTACTAGATTAACACTGATCAGCAGCGAAAGGGTATCAACCATACCTTGTGATATCAGCGTTCGTTAGCCTGATGTTCTGCGATAACACTGATTGGCGATATGCTCTTGCAGCATCCCGACTCATGTTTTCAGATGACGATGTAACAGTGTCCTCAGAAGTGGCGGTCGCTCCGGCACCAACGGGCGTACCAGTGCCAGCCACAATGCCGGCCTTTAAAAGAGCACTGTAAAGTCCAGCGATGTCAGTTGAGGGGACAGCTGCAGATTTCACGCTCGATAAAAGAGATGCAGAGTCGACCGGTTCAGATTTAGGTTGATTAATGGACGGCAAGGCGTAAGACGTATAAGTAGTAGAGGAAGAGTGTTGTGATACTGGTGGTGAGAATGCAGATTGCGTAGTTTGGCGAGGGTATGCAGGCTGAGCTTGGTATTGATATGATGTAGTTGTTGTTGGAGGAGCGGGCGCGGCAGGTTGAGGGGCTTGTGATAGAGATCTCAGCTGGGTCAGGATTTGACGGAGCTCATCTTGAGAAACACCTGCTTCAACAAGCTTGCGCAACTGAATTGCTCTAAATAAGCGTACAGACAATGACGACGCAAAGTGTTAATTACCTGTTGCAAAATTTGTACATGCCTCTGTGCAGTGGTATCCCAAGCATTCGATTGAAGGGCGCGTTCCTTTTGGCTCAGGGTAAATTCAAGTTCGCTCAGGACCTGTGCTCTCGATATCTGGCCAGACGTTGCCTAAGAAAGTATATTCAGTCCGCTGAAGCAGCGGGATCGTCGAAGTTAACTCACCCCTGTTGGATTCGAATCGCCGCCCCATATTCCACGCTCAATGGCAAGTTGTGGAATGACGCCGAACAATTCCTTGCCAGTCGGAGAGGCTGTTCGCCAGGTTAAAAGCATTTCTTCCATCTTGCTACGAGTCGCCTGATCAACCTGCTGATAAGTTTCCAGGAATAAACCAATGACGAAGGGAGTAAAATGGCGCGTATACGGGTCGTAGACATTCTTCGATATCGCGTCCAGTAAGTAGAAGCCTGGGAGCTTAATCCACGGAGGAACCTAGCGATGCGAGAAAACCACACCAAAAAGGCAAGCATGAGTCAGCTTCATGTCCATAACACAACCCATCAAAAAGAAAAGCGCTGAACTGCCACGTTGAGAAGAGCGACATAATTCTCTTAGTACGATGTCCTCCATCCGCCATGCAGCGGGGCCACCAGGCCTTGCGAGGATATCTTTCAAACTACTACGAGACTAATGACTAAGTACATGGTAACCGCAAAGCAGCGCAGTAAAGTAACAGATATAGCCATGTGTCAACTACCAACTGACAGCAACATGCCATAAAAACGATATCAACGACGACTCACCCTTCGAATGTGGGCTTCCAAACATTGAGCGACAATCTCAGCCCATTTTGAATACTCTTGAGCAATCATCGATAAGGTCTGAATGATAGGTCTGGAGTTAATGGTAAGTTCTGCCAGTCGCGCTGCATAATCACGGCGAAAAGAATTGGGATCCACAAAGTAGACAGGCGCAGGAGGTGGGGGCGGTTGCTGGTAAGAGTAAGCAGAAGGTCCAGGCTGATGATAGCTTGGTGGTGCTGCATAAGCCACCTGCCCGTACATGTGGGGCTGAGAGTACATGACAGTCGTTTTTTAAAAATTCTCAACGAAGTGCGAGACAGTCACCGCAAATGCAGTACGATCTCACCCAGAAAGTGAGGAGAAGTAAAGATCTTGATAAAAACACAAAACTCTTGAACGATCGACTGGCGCTAGAAACCCGTTTTTTCCAATGGCGGTCTTACTCAGCTGTCAATGACACGACCACGAAGCCCAACGGAAACGATGATGGTGGTTTGAGTGGAAGAAGCGGCTGACAATAGCCGTCTCTATTTAGACTTTAAACTCCGCTCGCAATTGTCCGCCACTTCCGTCCACCCCCCGAACATACACAGCCGCCCACCGACCTCAAGAAAACCAACGATCGCAAGGTGAGTTCGTCCTGAATTCAGATGCGACTGGGTCAACTTCCAGGGTGTTGGTATCTATGTTCCTGGAAGAAATTTGGCGAGGATTGGACCCCTGGATGGTGATGGATTGACTACCCGCATCGAGGATGTCTCAATATCGAATGAAGTAACTGACTTCGCACGTAGATGCGGGACGTCCTCCAAACTGAAGAACTCGAGGTCCCTGAGGGTATTACCATTGAAATCAAGTCACGCGTTATCAAAGTCACTGGCCCACGGGGTACCCTTACGAAGAATGTCCGTCACGTCGATATGGATATTCGGGTGTTGAAGACCAAGAAGAGCAGCAAGGTCACTCTCGCGGTGTGGCAAGGTGGGCGCAAGCATGTCGCATGTCTACGGACAATCCGAAGCTTGATTAACAATATGGTCATTGGTGTGACTAAGGTTTGTGCATTCACATGCAGGGCGTTTTTCATTGCTTACTCAGGACTCAGGGCTTCCTCTACAAAATGCGTGCTGTATACGCCCATTTTCCGATCAATGCTATCATCCAAGATAGTGGAAACGCCATCGAGATCCGTAACTTCCTGGGAGAGAAAGTAAGTCGTTATCCACGGCGTTACTTCAGTTTTTGCTCAAGGGAAATAGACTGTACGACACGTAAAGATGCTCGGCGGAGTTAATATTTCAGAGTCCAAGGCTCAAAAAGACGAGCTTATCCTCGAGGGTAATGATATTGAGAATGTTTCGCAATCAGGTGCATAACATCCTTCCACTGCTGAGTAATTTTTGCCTAAACTGCTGCCTTAGCCGCCTCCATTCAGGGTGCTTGCCGCGTACGGAACAAGGATATCCGTAAATTCTTGGATGGTATCTACGTATCCGACCGCACGACCATCACTCAGGAGTAGACGGGTTGTGGTTTGTAAGGGAAGCTGGGCATTATACAAAATTCCATGTCACGTATGCATTAATCTCCATCAACCCTATGTTCTACGCAAGACATTCTACTACTGATCGAGACCTTTGCAAGAGTCGAAGACCATCGATAGGGTACAGAACAAACTCTGATTTTTCAAACTACATGAGAATCCGAGGTGTCCTCTCGATGAGCCACTCTACCTATATATTCTACGAAGTCGACCATGTATCAAAAGATAAGGAAGTGGCTTGGACCTACCTATGACATAGGAACACCCTGGAAGTATTGGCCCCAGTCGTCAGACGAAAATATGTTTGATTGAATGCTCTTAAGTCTATCGTATGAATGGAATGTTGGTGTTGACTCTTCGCCTGTAGTTATCATATTCCTCTCCAAAGAAATTCACTAATGCCCTCTCTTCAACTGCTCCGAAATCAGTCAATGCATCCACGACTAATATAATAAATATGTACCTTTGATACGACGCGAGAAAAATCTCCACAAGACTAGTACGAATCCAATGGAGCTGATAGGGTTTTGCAAAACGAGCTGGGTCCCTAACGCCCAGTAAAAAAATCCTGCGTATGATGGATGGCGGAACGCCCTGTGGAGTTACTCAACTGTATGTAATGGTATGATCAAGAAGATGTTTCACTCACGAGTATACACCATCAGTTATCAATCGGTGCGAAGGCAGCTTGCGGAGAGCTACGATATGAGAGAAGTTAGTCGAAGCCTGTATCATTGCCGATGCACGCAGTGTCTGTCCGATGACAGCCATGATTATACCTAGCGAAGATTCATCAGCTTCATTCTTGCTAGCCAATCACAGCTAACCAATCGTTGAGATATAGTGGTAAGCCTTGAGCGATGGTTTGAAGTATAACGTGATTAGGTATTCCACAAGAGCGGTCCCATTGGCGACGTGATACATAGCGCCATTATCAAGTAAGAACGCTGTCACATCATTTAGTAGATATATTTCAGAGGTACAAAGACAAACGGACAGTCAACGCTGCATTTGTCACGGTTCCAGCCTGCTGTGACCGCGAATTCTCCCCAGTGGAAGCCAGACCAGGCGGCAAGGAAGAAGCCCAGCTGGTATGTGGCCCACCAGTGATCAGAGATGCCTCCAGTGAGAAAGAGTGCCAAACCAAGAGAAAAGATACATCCTAATACAAATGATATCGTGGATGCTGCAAGCGGTGTATTCGGGATATTTTCATGAGGTTGATGGTTCACGGGTATAGTTTCGAGCGTGTTCGTGTTCCTAGTGGTAGAAGCGCGTTGTCGCAATCGGTCCTCAAAATTGTTGGGAACATCAGAAGACATGAGCGTTTATGAAGATAAAGTACTGAATATAAAATGATTGAAATTCTGATGCAGGATAAACTATTTGGTCTTGTTGAATTCACAAGGCCACGATCGAATCACTCTTCGGATTATTCCGCGTACAGGTCATGCTTCGTAGGGTCTTATGGCTACCGGTGAGGGATCGCCAGCTGAAGTTCCTGAATCAACGCTTCTTGGCTACTGAGGCTCACCATGAGACTTCTCTTATCAGAAACATGGCGCTGGTAGCCCACATTGGTACGTCTGCCAGAACGAGTCTCATGAACCAATCTGAAAAAACACAGACTCCGGGAAAACTACGCTTACGGAGTCCATACTACACAAGTCGGCCTACCTGGCAGCCCCTGGATCAGTTGACACTGGCAGCACTACGACAGACTTCTTGCCTGCAGAACGAGAGCGTGGCATCACAATTCAATCCGCGAGCATTCCGGTCAAGTGGGATAAATGGACTTTTAATCTCATTGATACACCAGGTCATGCTGATTTTGGTATGGAGGTGGAGAGTGCAAGTCGTGTTGTTGACGGGGCTGTCGTCCTCATTGATTCAGTGGAAGGAGTCGAAGCACAGACTAAGGGCGTTTGGCGACAACTGGATCGGTAAGTGCATATCTTATTTCGACCACCTATGTTTCTGAAGTCGTTTTTAGATATGGTGTCCCTACTAGGCTCATGTTTCTGAATAAACTTGACCGACCGGGTGCTTCTTTCAGGTCGTCATTGGTCTCGCTACTTACCCATAGGCTGCACCCAAACCCCGTGGCTTTAGTATTGCCAATTGCTTCCTTCCGTACTGAAGATTACATGCGAGCCGAACCAGGTATTCAAGGGTTGGTCGATCTGGTAAAATGGGAAATTTGGAAATGGACGGAAGACGGCCACTCTACCATACAGTCCCTTCCTAGAACAGTCGAAGAACTCGAGACAAGCGGTGTCCTTCCGGCAAACCATCCCATGATACCGCACCTTGTGGCCGCTCGGGCAACTCTTTTGGAAAACCTCTCGATGTACTCTGATGAATTGATGGAACACCTACTCGCCCTGCCGCCAGGACCTTCATCGTATCTTGATGTCGAGATGTCTGCAATCATTCCACATCTTCGTAAAGCTACCTTAAGCAATGATATTCTGCCTGTTCTTTGCGGTTCTGCGATGAAAAGTATTGGTACAGAATTGGTAATGAACTACGTTGGCGAGCTCCTGGCAAGCCCAATGGACGTTCGATTAGACGCAGAGTCAGCTAACGGACCACTGCGCCTCTTAGCGTGGAAAGTGAGCTGGGATAAACGCAAAGGATGGATGACGTTCGTTCGCGTGTATTCCGGTAAGTTCAGCACGATTTATGTAGAGTATTGTTCATCGAACGTGCTAGGAACCCTCAAGCGTCAGAGTTCTGTATTCAACGTTACCAGTGGTCAGAAAGAGAAAATTTCAAAGGTTCTTCTCCTATACGCTGCGGAAGCACAGGAAGTCGAGTCCCTGCCGTACGGCTCCGTCGGAGTCATCTTAGGCTTGAAGTTCACTCGCACAGGCGACACTCTCGTCGATGCTCGTCATTCGTCTAATTCATCGCAAACATCTCTTCGAGGAGTAGTTCCACCACCCGCGGTTATGTCAGCCTCCGTCATACCCAAGTCTCATTCTGATCTCGACCCTGTACAAGAGGCTTTGCATGCTCTCTCTCGCACAGACCCTTCTGTTCGGGTCGATATGCAGGAGGGCCAATTACTTGTCCACGGATTAGGTGCCCTGCATCTCGAGATTGTCGAGGGGAGACTACGGGACGAATGGGATGTTAATTTTGAATTGGGTAGCCGCCGCGTCAGCTATCGTGAATCTATGGGACCTGGGCTTAGCTCCAATGTAAACAATTGGACCACTGAGGTTGCAGGAAAACCAGTCACGATCAAAATCTTAATGACGATGGAACCTCTTGCTGATGACGAGCAGGGGGATCCGGTCTGGGATGGCAACCTTGTCTTAGGCCCAAGTGGAAAGCCTCTGTTGTCTCCAGATGCCTTCCGGGATCAGTTGGACCCTATGGCCAATATCGCTCGAGGCTTGTCCAGCTCTCTATCGAATTCACCACATACGTCCCTACCGCTCTCTCACATTAAGATTCATGTCACGGAGTACAACCTTCCCCGCGACATCCCAACCTCCATTCTTGCCGGTGCTAGTTCCTCCATTCTACGAACCCGAATACAAGAAGCGGGAATGGGTCCCGTGTTAGAGCCATTCATCAAGCTCAAGATATCTCTTCATGAGGACACCATGGGAAAAGTTGTCAAAGATCTCACTGAAAACGGTGGCGAAGTTTTGGACCTTGCTTCCGACACGCCAGCTATGGATGGAGACGAAGTAGTTGCATACTCCACGGATGGATTGTACATCCCTCCAGAAGAACTATCACCCTCATCCGCTGCCTCTACGTCATACAAGTTTTCAAATGATGTTCCACGGCTTAAACGCACAATTCATGCAGTCGCACCGCTTAGCCGCATGCTAGATTATTCAACCCGTCTTCGTGCATTGTCTGGGGGACATGGTCTCTTCGATATGCTAAACGCAGGATTCAGACAAGTCTCTGAAGCACGTAGGATGGAGATATTAAGAGAGATAGGACGTGCATAAAATTACGGATCGAGTTTAGATATCTAATAGACTATGTAGCCTTACTACGAAAACTCCCTCACCTCATCTGCATCCCCGAATAATACCGCTCCATCCATCTCATCATCGTCATCTGCAGCCGCAACGTGCATGCCACCAGCTGCATTAAGTGCTTGGCTAAATATCATAAGATCATCACTACCGTAACCATCAGAATCAGAATCAGGGGCAGGGTCATTGAAGAGGGGAACTGGAGGCAAGGTCTTTGCTCGAGGAAAAGGAGTCGGGGTCAGGCTTCTACCTCTGTCAAACTCTGGCAGGAAGAGAGGCGTGCGGGCTCTTTGGCTGTTATTGCTAGGCACGAAATCAGGAGGTGCGATTGTCGAGCCTCTTAATGCCTCGTTTGTTAAGGGTATTACGGATGGCGCTCGTGTGGCAGATCGAATTGGAGGCCATGGCTCCACGACTACGCAAAGACAGCGTCCAAAGATGTTGAAACCTTGGTACTTGAGCTTCAATGCTAGCTTGTCTTTCTTGTCGTCTTCGTCGTCGATCTCCATGAACGGTCGACTTGGCCCAGGAGTAATTACGACGGCTTCCGAATCAAGAGTATGTTCCATAGTAGATTCCAGGGACTTCTCTGTGTCTTCTTGTTTAACGGTGGTTGATATTTCAGCGCTGTGATCCATCACAAGGACATCGTGGTCACTAAGTTCCTCTTCAGGGACCTCGTTTTGCTGGGTAGTCTCGGTTGGGCCAGCCATCTCCACATCTAGAGATTCGTCAGAACTAATTTCCACAGGGTCCTCGACGTCTTCACGATAGCCCCCGACAGGAATCTTTTTTATTCTCTGCGAACGTCGAGTCGTAGCAGGAGTCTCTCGAGAAACTCCCTGTGTCCTATCCATTTCACTGCTGTCATCTGAAAGGCTTATGACTTCCTCTTCTTCTTCCTCGTCCTCCTCATCACTATGAGCTCGAGATCTGCCTGCCGTCTTCCTTCTCTTGCGGCCAGAAGCTGTCTGAGTATCCTTATTCTCTGATGCTCTGTTTTTTCTCTTCCCACTTCTGCTCTTGGACTTTTCCGGTCGTGGTGGGGGTATATTAACCTTGGAAGAAGGTGGGGGTGCTGGAACAAATGAACGCGTCTGGAGGGTGTCAGGATGCGTTTGGAAGAGATACATTCGAGTTAGCTTGCACGCACCTTAATGATTACATTATGAGGTTCCGTCTTCTGGAAGAAAAAGGCAGCCTGATAAGTCTCTGCGAGTGGATTATATATTGAATTCGCAGTTTCGTATACATAAGGACCGTACCTCCCCGATGAACATCCACCGCTCCCTTCCTCCCACTCGAAGCCCCAGGACCAAAGTGGATGTCTTTCTCAGCTTGTAACTTTGGCAAAACCCTGGAAAGATCTGAGAAACATTCACGAGAGCTACGAAAAAAACAGACTGACAGTGGTCGCAGATCAGCCAGGACATGCTGTAGCACTGTGTCTGACATCCAATCTACGTGTCTTTCATCGAGGTAGAGCTGATTACGGTGGTCATTAGAACAGGTCGCGTAGTAGGCACGGAGGTGAGCTTACATACAGAGGTATCACTGAACTTGCTGATACGCGAAGGTAGTATGCATTCCGTACGCTGAACCCAGCCATAGGTAGATCATCAGTGAACCCGTGAGGAAAGTAGATAGCAATAAATAACAATATATAGTACATAATCGCAAGAACTAGCATAATTTTGCTATCGACAATCACATTGTTATGTTTGACCTTATAGAGGAAAGACGCGTCCCTGATTATCGTATAAAATGTTATGAAATGCCATAACGAAAGGGAGGTTCACAACTCCGAAGCATCAAATAATTGACGTGAAAATATAAAGCTTTACAATGCTTTATCTAATTGCAAAATTTACATGATATCTGCGAGAATGATACTACCTGGAGTAAGTTAGACAGAACTACCAAAAGCGCCAGCATGACAGATTGCCTACAACAACCTGCCATTTTGTCACCAGTATCAAATTATTCTCATCCTCAGCACTCGTTTTGTGAAGCAAATTAATTTTATTTATATTTAAATACTACATATGTAGTTACAGGACAAAAAGAAAAGAGGAAAAGATAGCGGAGAGATGAATGAAAGGAGGGACCAAGGTCAGCAAGGAACCATGAAAAAAGGCCAGCAAGGAGCCACGAGGAAAGGAAAGGAAAGGACCACCATGAACGGCCAGAGGAAGGAACCATGAGGGAAGGACGGACCACCACGAATGGCCAGGAAGGAACCACGAGGAAAGGAAGGGCCACAAGGAAAGGAAGGGCCACCACAAACGGCCAGGAAGGAACCATGAGGAAAGGCCAGGGAGGAACCACCACAAACGGCCAGGGAGGAACCACCACAAACGGCCAGGCAGGAACCACCATGAACGGCCAAGGAGGTACCACAGGGAAAAGGCCAGGGAGGGACCACCACAAATGGGAGGAATGAAGATGCTGAGTCGAGAGGTGGTGGTAGTAGCGGTGAAAGAAGGATTGAAAGGAACTTGCGTGTAAATTTCCGTCCTGCGCAAACAATGACAAATCAATTTCAACCACTTGCGCTGGTCACATGATTTGAGGTTGTCCGAAAATTCTAAGGTAAAATTTGAGGCTGAGGTGATAGTCACGTGCATGATTTTGGATGACATTGTAATTCACGCAATATTTGAACCGATCTATATAGTTTTGTAAGTCAAAAATAAATGAGGTAATATGATGTTGCTCAACAAACGGTACCTAATTACACTATCATACCTCGCTGGTTGAAGCTCTCATAAGAATATAAATTAGGTTACAAGTGCTAACGGTTCTTTCCACGATAAAGTCTTATATCACTTGGTAGTTTAAAACATAAATGAGGGAACATGGCATGAGTCAACAAATATAACTTAACCATGCTATTGCATATTGATTGCTGCAATGGCGCAATGTTGTAATCTTGTTGCGAACTCCTCATGGTAAAATGAATTTTCAGAGATTCATGGCTATGTACCGATAACTAATATTTATTGCTGTATACATAGGTATATTCAGCCGTAGCAAAATGATATCATCTTATACTTCCCATGGCTACAAAATCAAGGACTCATGAATTCACTGATGCGCCATACTACAGGCTAGGAGTCAACGGACGAACTCAAGTTTGAGACAGCACTGGGCTGCTGTGTCCAACCTATTTTCTAGCACTAGAGCCAAATGCAGTCGTGAAGTACCTGAGTCCTGAGTCCCCGAGCTCGGGAGTCCTTAGTGCTTCCAGGATTTCCTTGCGACACTATAGTGCGGATAATGACCTAAAGTAGAGGAAAAAGCATATATTGATGACGTAACTTGTCTTGTAGCGTAGTCAGCCGATTAAAATTGTTGATTGACCCCGCGGAACAAGGCCGCTGCAGCCATTTGATGCGGCGGTCCGAATGTGATCACTCAAATCGGTGAATGGTCAGATGGTAGGGGTACCAGTAATCGTTAACATAAAGACAACTTGAAGCACATATCTATAAAGTATACAAGCACGCACGACCGCCGGCATGTTATCCACTGTGGAGCGCATTATATTGTTGAGACGGGGAACTTGGCAGCATGTTGTAAAAGATGGAGCGAGATGGAGAAAAGTTGTTCCAAAAATAAAATATAGCAATCGGTTTCCAGCAAGCGGATCGGAGCGGTGGGCTTGAAGTTTGCGCCCTGGCACGCGAGACGCACACGGGTGGACGACGCTTCAAAGTCATCATAAGATTATATATTGTGGATGGATGGATGTATAATACTAATGGTAATACAAATGAATTGGTTAGTTGGATACATAGAGTATAAAGTGATCAATGAGACCGAGAAACCAATTAGAGTTGTCAGATGAGTTAAACATAATGCCAAGGATAAAGAACGAGGGATTCATGTCGTGAAGCTAGCGTAGAATGGCCACAAGAGGACCATGTGATGAGTTGAATAAAGTGAATAGTAATATAGAATGAAGGAGAGGCAGTGAAGCTGAAGTAGACCGGCTACAACAGGTCAATTTTCAACGCCGAAAAAAGACTGAAGCTCATTGCATCCTGGCCTTGGTAGACGTGACCCGGGGCATCGCTGACCTCTGCCCAAACTGGACCTCGCTCAGGGAGCGGTGCTGAGGAACGGGGGGCGAGTATGTCTCGTCGGGAATTGGTGACAAGAAAGTAAGGATGGCTTCACCGCGGGAGGATCTAAAGTCGGGATCGAAAGTGAGATAGATACCTCCATCATTCATGTCAATTCCTGGTGCCTGCGACGCCTCATCGAGCTCATCACCCGGAGCATCGATTGAATGAGTGGGTGCGGAGGTAAAAGCGAGCTGATTAACAGGAGCATAAGCGGGCCGCGTGGGCGTGGTAAAAGCAGTGGCCTCGTATGGAGCGAATTTCTGGGAGCAGAAAGGCATTGATGTTTTCGGCCTTTTCTCTTCAAACTTTTGCGCATCTACTGGCCGTTCCCTGTGCATAATGTGTATCAATCAATGACTTGAATATCAGGTCGAGGTTGCGCATACCCGGTGAATAATCCCCGTTGTTTCTGGGGTGTAGTGTTGTCATTTTCACATGAAGTCCTTAGTGTAGCCTTCTCCGCTTCAGACATTGGCGGTGGAAAAGAACGCAGACAATCATCAGGCGTTGACTTGCGCTGAAAGCGAACTTGCCGCTGGAAGAGAAGAGTGAGTCAACACTGTCCATCTAATAGTATATATGCCACACACAGCTGAGGTGGCATCATGCCAGGAACTAATAAGTGCAAGCTCTGCAGATGATGGGAAACGTTCGAGCACGAGCGTTGGGTACGGGGGTTCCATATTAACTCGGTCACCAGTGGACGAAGGTGCCAAGGGCGTTGACCTTGCGCCAGTGGGTGTGCTCAAGTATCTGGGCAACAAAGGAAGCTCTTTGTCTACGTTGAGATACATGTTAAAGATGCAGATCAGGATGGTGAAGATATAGATTATCGAAAGCAAACCCAGTGGGATAGTATAAATACCAGAACAATTTCAAAGCGTTTGAGGCGATGTGGACTATAGGGCGGAAGGTGCCATTTGTGGTGTTGTGGAAGGAATACGGAGACAAAGAATAAGATTGTGGACGGAGCATGTGCACACAGTGCCATGGACGCCAGGCTCACCTTGACCAAGGTTTGAGCCTGCCAGTAGCAAGTTGGACTGGAGAGCGTGCCATGGCTGTCCTTTTCATGCTATGGAAGCATCAAATTTCGGGGAGAAAGTTTTATAAGCTTCAACCAACACCTATTTTTGCGACTCACCTCCGTAGAGTTGAGTCGCGCGCGCTCGCGATCAACGAGCGCGTCACTATGACGTGCAGGAAGAGCAACTGCAACTGCTGTCAGACATACCCGCGGGGCAGGAAGCAATATAATAACTCCTGGACCGCTTCGAGGTCTCAATTTGAAGACGACTAAAATTCATAGCCATGAACTTTTAGTATGAATGGATTTTCATTGATTCATCCATTGATATTGTCAGAGGTTTGCTGGACAAGCCGACAGTAGCTTCAAGAAGTTCAACCTCTGTTTGGTCTTGTATTGCTCATCATGATGTACTACTATACACAGGTGACAGAACGTACGTTCTTTCTTCATCTCTCTACTAGGCTGGCGAGCCATCAGATCTCAGATGCCCATCATATCTCCTTGAACAGCAACAATTCGCGTACAATATACAAATGACAGAATGATAATCGAAATACATGATCATGAATGACGTTCGTGCTATGTTTTCCCTGCAAATGCATAATATTTCATGTGGTTTTTCAAGCCTCGTTGATGTCGACATCAGGTCCGGATATGATGGCCTTGATGACCCCCTTGCCATCGGGGCTCTTGCCATTGCGAGTAGTTTCAAATGCCTCACGCGCCTGAGTGAACGGGAAGCTATGAGAGCACTTAGCACGACAAACATTGGATAGTTGTTCCGACAGCTAGCATACCGGTGCGACACAAGGGGCTTGACGTCAACCTTGCCTGACGTAGCGAGGGCGATGGCGAGAGGGTAGTCGCCGGGCTTCATTCAACAAGGGTCAAACAATGCTTCCGAGAGTGAAAAAAGAGCTTACGCCATATCGGAAAGAACCCTTGAGGACGAGTTCCTTGCAAATGACAACAAACATGTCGATGTTGACATTGGGGTTACCCATGCCAACCTATTCATAATCAATCAGATAGCCCCCTCAGTGCTGTCAATTTCAACCTACCTGAACGTAGGTGCCACCACTCTTGACGATTCGGATCCCAGTCTGAATAGAAACCTCCGCACCCGAAGCATCCAAAACCAGGTCAATTGCCTGAGGTCCCCGATCAGCGATTCCGAGCTTCTCCTTCATCGCCTGGGCATTGCGCATCGAGAATTCAACTCTCGATTCATCCTTCTCCATAGGAGGAGGTAGGAAAATGTCAGTTGCAGCATATGCTTTGGCAAATTCGAGACGGCTAGGAACGATATCAACAGCGATAACACGGGAAGCGCCAAGAGCTTTTGCGACGGCCATACATAGAAGTCCAACAGGTCCACAGCCAAAGACGGCGACGGACTGGTTCGACCGCAAAGCCCCGAGGTTCGAGACGGCATGGACTGCCACGGAAAGAGGTTCCATCTAGAACAGAGTCAAATTTCAGTGAAATGTGATGTGGCCAACCGCTTACCATTGCTCCATCCTCGAGACTAAGGTTTGGTGGAAGCGGGTAAGCGAGATCAGATGGTAGGCGGTAGTAACGAGCGAGGGTGCCATCCGTAGGAGGGGTAGCAGCAAAGATGACATCGGGGCAAAGCTGCTCGGGGCCGTCAGGAAACAAAATTGGGGCGAAAATCATACTTACCTGATAGCGACCCTCCTTGCAAGCTTCGCACCTGCGACATGTTGCGCCAGGCTCCATAGCGACTCTGTCACCCACTTTGACATTGGTCACTCTGGAACCAACTATAGTTGAAGGTTAAGATAACAATATCAGAATAGGAGGCAAGTTATGGACGTACCTTTTGAGACCACGCCCGCTGCCTCGTGACCCAGCACCTAATAGCTAACGATGAGGCTCAGCCGTGGATCCTATCGAACTTAACCCACCATGGGCTTCTCTACAACAAAATCTCCGATCCTTCCGTGGACAAGGAAGTGTACCTGGAGAAGATAACTTGGTATCCTGGTTCAGAACAATAGATAGGGGCGTACATCTGAGCCGCAGATTCCTTGTTGTCATGCCGAATGAGCCTTGGGAGAAAAAGAGGCTCTGAAAACACACCTGTCTTCTTCACTTCCACGAGGACTTCATTGGGGTCAACTTCGCAAGGTATGGCGATTTAGCGAGCGTGGAGGAACCATCCAAGGATAGACTCACTCTCTGGAATTGGCTTTTGCTGGATCTCAACATCCAGGATGCCTTTAAGTACGAATGATGGATTATCGGACATGATGAGAAAAACAAAGTGAGGACAGTGGGAAGATGATTCACTTAAGAACGAGCCACTGTGGGGATCCGGACTCCCGCAGGCTTTTGGGCCGTACTAGACCCGTGACGACTAGACCAACCAAACCTCACTCGTGACCACTGCTCAATGACTTGTGCTATTGTGATTTGGACTAATCAGGTATGTCGTCAGAGGAATACCTTTTCGGGTAATTTATGGCTGACATGGAGTTGCAAGTGAGACCAACCGAAAGTATAAAATCATGTACGATCCCTTCGTTATCCCTTGACACTAACCTCAACGTCGACCCATCAACCAAGAAGTACTGACGCTCAGCAAGTTCAACAATCGACTTCGAATTCGCATCTCGTTTGGAACAACTTCGTTACTTTCAACATACTGATCAGCATCATGAATTATAGCGAAGCCCTCCCAAACTTCTCAGGTCAGATCGTCGGCAACGGTCGCTTCGAGCTCGTCGACATGATTGGTTCTGGTTCCTACGGAAACGTCTATCGCGCTCTCGATGCTCAATCAGACCCATGCGAACCTGTCTACTATGCAATCAAGTGCTTGCCAAAAACGGAACTCTCCCCTGAGCGCCTCGTATGCCAGAGACGTGAGATCTTATTGCACTCCTTAGTATCCAGCTCGTCGCCACATATCTGCACCCTTCATGAGATCATCGAGGAAGAACTTTACATCTACTTCGTGCTCGACTACTGCCCAGGTGGGGACCTCTACACCGCCATCATCGAGAACCGTATCTACCAGAACAATGTCCCGCTCATCAAGAGGGCATTCGTCGAGCTTCTCGACGGCGTACATGCCTGTCATCAGTTGGGCGTGTACCACCGTGACCTGAAACCAGAGAACATTCTCTGTCGCCAGAGCGGGTTGGATATTCGTGTCGCAGATTTCGGGCTAGCGACCAAAAGTCGTATTAGCCAGGAATTTGGCGTAGGCAGCTCATACTATATGAGTCCTGGTATGTTCCGATTTCAAATTGCATAGTGGACTATCTAATAAACTACATCCCAGAATGTATTAGTCGTGAGATGAAGTACCCTCATTACTCACCGCTTCACACGGATATCTGGTCATTGGGAGTTATTCTTGTGAACATGGTCTCAGGTCGCAATCCTTGGCGATTTGCGACACCCTCGGACAAGGGCTTCCTCGGATATCTCTACAACGTGGACTTCCTTCGCGAGATCCTTCCCATCTCGAAATCTTTCAACGACATACTCAAGCGCATCTTTCGCCTACAACCGTTCACGCGAATCAGCCTTCCAGAGCTCAGAGAAGAGATCCTCAACCTTGATACCTTCTATATGAGCGATGCCGAGCTCCGCGACGCGTCGGACAACGCGCAAGAAGCTGCTCGCGACGACTACCACAGGCGCGCTGCACCGTTGACTGATTTGGTGTTCAATCAAGTCATAGCCGACACAACCCTCGTCAACTGCTCATCGACGAAATCCAACTTCCACTCCGACGGCGGTCCTCCTTATCCCAAGTGGGCTTATCGCGGCTCCGCGCCTACATCTCGGCGACCTAGCGACCTACCGCCTGCGAGCGTCAACAGGACGCCCTCACAACTCTATATTCGAACCTTTGAGTCACAAGACTATCGACTTTACGAGTCACGGGATAGCCTATCGGGCTGTTCTACGCGTTCTGTTTCTTCAGGGGTAGAGAGTGAGGGACCCATTACTCCGGAAACGCATGCCCATGAGCCTGCCATTGACGTGGCAGACTTATCTGAGGGGCAGACACTTGATGAACCGATACTTGCTCGCATGCCTGTCAAGATGGGGGCAAAGCGACCCCGTCGGTTCTCGTTTCGCAATGTAGTTTCACGGTTTAAGATCTTCTGATTTGTACCTGTGCGTAGATACTAGTACAGTAGTCATGCTCCTAGCGCAAGTTAGTCTAGTGACTTGTAATAAAGCCGATCCGATACGCTAGGCAATCTACTGAGTGAGCGTTCAAGATAAGCTAAATAATCTAAGCGAGTGAGTGTTCAGCCTTGATAGAATGAGAGAGTATTTAGGCGTGTGCGAAATAGTAGACGACGAAGAAGGTTTATGCGATGAACTCTCATGTTCATGGGAGAGAGCTCTCGCCTCATAGTGGTCACGAGTTTCTGAGGAATGCTGGCAGATAATGGCGTTTGTCACATGCCGTGGCAATTGATTGCATCTTCAATTGCTCAGGGCAGGCGCGAACTCAGATAACTTATAATTCAAAATCACCCAACTCGATCGATCATAGCCTCTCCATCCCCTTCTTCCTACTTCTATAACTCATTCAGAATGGTCTTGTCAAGTGTTCTTGGTTTCCCTCGCATCGGTACATAGATTTCTTCATCACAAGCCAGACTTATCTGATCCCGATTGACCAGGTGCAAACCGTGAGGTGAAAAAGGCCGTTGAAGCTTACTGGGCTGGCAAACTCTCCGCAGAGGATTTGATCAAGGCTGCTGCTGATGTCAAAAAGTCCAGCTGGACTAGCCTCAAAGAACGAGGTGTTGATTTGATCCCCAGGTCAGTACTCTCTTCGAGCTCAAAGATATTTATTAATCTGATCAATCTATTCATAGCGGAGAATTCTCCCTCTATGATCACGTTCTTGACCACTCTGCGGCATTCAACGCCATCCCGAAGCGTTACCAGGGTCTTGGACTCTCTGCCCTCGATGTTTTCTTCGCTATGGGCCGTGGTCGCCAGGCTGACGGCGTTGATGTCCCCGCCTGTGAAATGAAGAAGTGGCACGTGTCTTAGTTTCACTATCCTTAAATGGTGTTGTTGTTCTAATTTGATGTTTCAGGTTCGACTCCAACTACCACTTTGTTGTCCCAGAGTTGTCCGAGGAGACCGACTTCAAGCTCCTCTACAACAAGGTCCTTGCCGAGTACAAGGAGGCCAAGGAGATCGGCGTTGTCACTCGCCCAGTCGTTCTCGGTCCCATCTCCTACCTTGTTCTTGGCAAGGCCGCCAAGGAGGCATCTCCTGACTTCCAGCCTATCTCGTTGCTCCCCAAGATCCTGCCTGTTTACAAGCAACTTTTGTCTGAGCTCAAGGCTGCTGGTGCCGAATCTGTCCAGATCGATGAGCCCATCCTTGTTCTCGACAAGGGTGCCGAGCTAGACAAGCAGTATGCGTTTGCTTACGCCGAGCTTGCCCCTGTCTCTCCCAAGATCATACTTACCACTTACTTCAACCGCTTGGACTCCAACATCAACTTCATCGCCAAGCTCCCCGTTGCTGGCCTCCACATTGATCTCGTCCGTGCACCCCAGCAGCTCGGCGAGGTTCTTGCTGCCATCAAGTCCACTCCCATCGTGATCTCTCTTGGTGTTGTTTCTGGACGTAACATTTGGAAAGCAGACTTTGCAGTTGCCATCAAGTTTGCGCAGACTGCCATCGCTGCTCTCGGCGCTGACCGTGTTATCGTTGCCACATCTTCCTCTCTCTTGCACACCCCTGTCACTCTTGCTTCCGAGAAGAAGCTCACCCAGCAGCAAAGGGACTGGTTCTCATTCGCCCTTGAGAAGGCGGCTGAGGTTGCCACCATCGCAGCTGTTCTCTCTGGCTCTCAAGACCCCAAGGTCTCTGCTGCCCTTGAGGCCAACAAGGTCTCCATTGCCAAGCGTCGCGAGTTTGAGTCCACTTCAGACGACGCTGTTCGCAAGCGCGTTGCTGCCATTACCCCTGACATGTACGACCGCAAGAGTCCCTTCGCCGTTCGCAAGGAAGTCCAGGCCAAGCACCTCAACCTGCCCAGATTCCCCACCACTACCATCGGTTCCTTCCCTCAGACCAAAGAGATCCGTACTGCCCGTGCCAAGCTCGGAAAGGGCGAGATCTCTGAGGCTGAATACGATGAGTTCATCAAGAAGGAGATCGAGCTGGTCGTCAAGTTCCAGGAGAAAGTCGGCCTTGACCTCCTCGTCCACGGCGAGCCTGAACGTAACGACATGGTTCAATACTTCGGCGAGCAACTGACCGGCTTTGTCTTCACTCAAAACGCCTGGGTGCAAAGCTACGGATCTCGGTCAGTATTGTATTGGAAAGTTGAATGATCGAGCCTCATTGTTTTGCCAACAGTTATGTCCGTCCCCCCATCATCGTGTCCGACGTTAGCCGTCCCACGCCGATGACCGTCAAGTGGAGCAGTTACGCACAGAGTGTCTCCAGCAAGCCCATGAAGGGTATGCTTTCTGGCCCTGTCACCATCTTGAACTGGTCCTTCCCTCGTGACGATGTTCCACGTAAGCTGCAGTCGCAGCAGCTTGCTCTTGCGCTCCGTGATGAGGTCCTTGATCTCGAAAAGGCTGGCATCAGTGCCATCCAGGTCGACGAGCCTGCCATTCGCGAGGGTGTAAGTGTTTTCATGTGATCAGATAAATTCGCTGCTAATCAAGCCTCAGCTTCCTCTTCGTCGTTCTGACTGGGATGAGTACTTGCAATGGGCTGTGGACACCTTCAAGCTCTCCACCGCTGGTGTGACCGATGCCACTCAAACCCACTCTCACTTCTGCTACTCCGACTTCGGTGACATCTTCCCCTCCATCCAGCGTCTCGATGCCGATGTCATCTCTATCGAGTTCTCGAAGAGTGACATGAAGCTCCTCCACACCTTCAAGCAATACGGCTACTCCAACCAGATTGGTCCTGGTGTCTACGACATCCACTCGCCTCGTATCCCCAGTGAGGCAGAGATCATTGAGCGTCTCAAGACCACTTTGGCCATCATTCCCGACCACCTCATGTTCATCAACCCTGTAAGTGGAATATCAAGTGTTCGCTCTAAAGCCACCGCTCATATCTTTTTACAGGACTGTGGTCTGAAGACTCGTGGCTGGAAGGAAACCGAAGCTTCCTTGGCCAACTTGGTTGCTGCCGCACGCTGGGCCAGAGCTAACGCCTAATTTTCTACACATTGCGCTTCAACAGCGCCCACAAAGTGGTTAAATTATCATGGCCCTTTTATCGGGGAATTGGCCTACACTTGACCTCGGGTAGTTGTCGCAAGAAAAAGAAAACAATGTCCGGCGATGGTTGTCGTCAACAGGGACAGGGCAACAGATAGTTGCTGCTTTGTGGGCCCGCAAAGTGTCTCGGCAATGAGGCAGGAGCTTAGCGCGTCTATGTTCGTAGTAGTCGGATTTCAACAATCCTTAATGTACCGTATCGCGTTCCATGGAATGAATATGATATTAGCATGCAATATCTATTGGTCTCATAGATCTAATATGTGCTTGAATATGAGAGTGAAGGTATAACAATAGTAGGCCCATGTGTTGTCAATCGTCTATTTCATCATAGGTATCGTCATTTCTTCTACAATGGCAGGCGACGCTGCTGGAGGAGCAGTGATCGCACTACAATCATCATGCTTTTCCGATGACGCGTTTAAGTCAGCTGTGCCAGCGGTACTGGTCTGCTCAGGGAGGTCATTAGGAGAATTTGTCGAAAGATTTATGGTTGGCGCGTGTAAAAGACCATCGTAGTTGTCTTTCGCAAGTGCTGTTCGTAGGGTATTTTCAATTTTCTCCGTGCGCCTGGTCCGTTGGCCACCTCGCCAAATCAATATTGCCGAAATTATCCCGCACAGAAACGATGCGGGAATGAGACTACCTGTGGTCCATGCCGGTCGTTCAAATCTGGCGCGGAAAGATATTTAGCTCGATACAAATTTAGCCTCAGAACAGAGCTTACCGGTTCATAGACCACATGCAACTCGACAGCATGACCTGAACACTAGTGAATAAGCGTAGTTTCGCCTTTCATGACATTTACCTGAAAAGCAGAATTTCCATCGATAAAGAGACATATCCAGAGTGCCGTACTGTGATGCACATTGCGGATCTGAGCAGAGATATAACCTGAGCCAGAAAAACGCACTTGATTGGAAATGCCTTCCGAATGGTGTTAACAATGCATTGTCATGCAATGGAATGAAAGAACTTACTCGGTGGGTCACAGTACCATGTGGGCGGTACCATGTCTGACTCTCGTGAAACTTAACTTGCTCTGCGTCAAAGTGAGCCACGCTTATCGTGAGCCACCACAAATTTGGGTACGTACGATGATGCAAATCCCGTTGTTCTCGTTCAGTGAGAACATGGACAAAGGTAGGGTCATAGACAGGGTCGGGCAAGTCATCGATGTCGAATAACTGAGGGAAACCAGCTTTATCTCGTAGCTTCGTTGTTTTGTGCTTGTAGTGCCAAATTTTGCAGATTCCTGCTTCAAAAGTTAGTTATTGCGACGAGACTAAAGATCACAGGGCCCACTATAGGTGTCAAGAGCACGCGTAGGGATCAGGCCAATCCCGGTGATGGTGAACAAACCTGATGAAAAATGGTTATGGAAGTTTTGGGGAAATATACAACAACGAACCACACACGACCTGAGAGCATACCTCAACCCAAAAACCCTGGGTATTTGCGTTGTGTAAATTGATCCACTTTAGCAAAAATAACACCAGCGCAGCTCCCCAGAACACTGCAAAAGGTCAGCACCCAAGAATAGAGCACGATAGATTTCCGTACCAACAAGAAACCCGTATATGCCCGTTATGATCTATAATCCGTAAGTAACCACAAATAAATCATACTACTATACAGCAAACGTACGCCTATCGCTGCGAAGAGCGTGAGAAAACATCAAAAAACAAATGACTGAAGATACACTGACGAGTTTTCAAGAACGACCAAACGCCCTGGAGTGTACGTTTGACCTTGGATCGACCAGTCAGAACGTCCTCGACATGTCTGTCTAATGATTCATGCATGTCATCAAATTGAGCATGCCCAGCGGATTCCATGACCAAGCCTTGTCGTCCACTCGGATAAAACAACGCAATTACTGGTTTTCGAGAGTAGAAGCTCGATGGAGGGCTGATATAATCATCGTTAAACTGGAGTGAAACATGAAGAAAATGAAGAACACTCGCATTAAAATAGAATTAGCGGCGTTGGCCAGGCTGGATACAGTAGCGACCTGAGGATCTGGAGGTATAAGAACAGTGTAACCTAATACTTAAAGAAAATCAGTGATACCAATTGCATCCAAATGATCCACAATATCATCATGATGGACAACACTTTCGTCGAGCTGCTGGATCTGCTGCAGTTCGAGTGTGCTTTCTATGATACCGGGTGTCCTGACGTCGGCTTGGCTGTGGGTCGAAACGTCGGTCTGAGAAACCTGCAGCCTATCCCTGATGGTCCCATAGCCGTCTACAGGAGGAGAACCGTGACGTGACAGCGACGGAGGCGATATGGGTGGCCTGCGAGAAGCTAGGACGTGCTCAGCGACCTTAGACCCGGACTGTTGACGGTTAATGGGAGGGCGGGAGACAGACTCGAACGCCCCACTTGTCGTGTGGCTTCTCAAACGTTGCTTGTTCTCCGGAGCAGAATCAATTTGCGCGTTATGAGCATTAGTAAGTCTGGGAATAAGGCTGCCCATGCTACGCTGTCCGCGTACAGTGATGGACCGCGATGGTAATGACGCCTCGATATCATCGTCGAATCTGGCGGGGAGGAGAGGATATGTAGATGGAGTCTTCTTTATCCTGACTGAAGGCATGGAAAGTTTGTACGTCTCTTTCTTGAAGAGGAGAACTTATAGAAGGAAGCTCCTGGTCTGCAGATCTAGGTCTGGAGTAAGTAGCACCGGAGCAGAAAATGTATTAATAGCAACACGTTCGTTAACCTTTACGTCACGGGCCCATGGGGCCTGGCCCTGACACGTACATGCATTGCAAACGAAGATAATAGTAGATGTAAAGTATGTAGGTGAAATAAATTAAGAGAAAGCAGTAAGATATATCCTTCTGAGCACTCATCAAGGACCTTCCTTGGACACTGGAGATTCAGTATCGCGACGATCCACAGACTGACATTCCGACTACACAAACAAGTCAATAGCCTGTAACAAGTCAAGTAGAATCACTTGCGTCGGGGTTATTGTCTAGGCTCTTTCTGCTGCGACTGAAAACACTGAGTAGCCGAGCGCGGCTTGATGGACGATTAATATCTGGCACAGGAGGGGCGGGAGTCGATTCATCCATGTCGGTGGGCTCGTCCGTGAGAGACATTCCAATAAATCTACTAGGGTTGGTACCACATGAGGATGACGTTCTTGGTCTTGCTGGTGCAGCAGTCGAGTTGGTGTCTGTTCGCCTTGGTTTTAGCTTCAGTATTTTCCGGGGAGCTCGAGGATCTAGCTGCGAGACACTTTTGGAGGCTGTTAGCTTCGTCTTTGAGAATAACTCTCGAGCCACAGGGAAGACTGGAACCAATGGTTGATGCAAAGCTATCTTGACCCAGCCTTTCCACGTGAGATCCGATGGGATAAACTGATCAACCAGCTCTTCAAACTGCAGCGTCGAACTTAGTCGACAATATTGAGAGTATAGATCATGAAACGTACACTCCAGGTCTGGTTTCTAATCTCCAACGCGTGCGTCCGAATGCGTGCATCACGGCATTCAAAAGATGAAGCCTTCATGATGCTTAACAGCAACTCTAAACTGAGAAATCTGTGTGAGAATCCTTGTATGCCATCGTTCATTTCTTGTGAACTAACCTGGAGATCTTAACAAGCACGAAGTTTTTTTGTGAGGAGCGCGTTTTCATCTCATCGAAATCAGTCTTGTGCTCGGACGATACCTGTCGTATTATCATGTGCCTATGTCGACGAGATTCATCCAGCGCGTCGGTTGTCAAAGAATGCTGATTGGATTGTGTGGCAGGATACGACGTGATCATGGCGTTTGCCGCCGTACTCCGAAGATCTGTGAATGACCTTGAGGAGCCTAACTTACGTAAAGGAGGAGTGAGACTGGTGCAGTCCAGCGATGAGCGTGGCTGGTTGAGCTTAGAAGAATCCAACGACGCTCGGGGTTTGGGGTGGTGCGTATCGTACGAAGATACAGTATCGGTGCCCCTGTTCCTACTTCTCCGCGCCGGCCAGACGTATTCCATGATTCGTTGACCAAGACTGGCGTCTAGCTGAAGTCTGATTGGATGAAAATCAAGCTGGAATTTTTCATAGATGGTAATCCCCCCTACAGGGGCAAGCACTGCCCAATCAGCATCAAGAAATACTCCTCTCTGAAATATGTTGTGTCAAAGAGAGAGGCTGGTGAGGTCAGAGGGCGCACCTTGCACATGGGGTGATTAGATGGGTCCTCAAATTTGGACACAATCTCAGCCCAAGGAGCATGAGGAGAACCGTCAAATGCCTGAAGGTCTCCCACCACAAGATTTGTCATCGTCGAACTGTCTTGTTTACTGAGCCAAGAGAAATCGATGTCGCGGACTGCGAGCTTTGCAAGAAGTTCTTGATGATCATCTAGCATTTGCCACGAAATTTCCGAGGAAGAAGCAAGAAGCAGAAGCGCTGACTTCTGGTCTGAGCGCTCATCGGCTCGATCCTGGGCTAACTTGATGGCGTCGAATATCAGATTAAGTTCCTCAGTCAGAAGGAAGATATGGGCCTTGAGCTTAATTATTTCTAGCCTGGTCTCCGAGACGGCCGATAACGCATGATTTTCAGCATCCCTCCGCGTCTCGAGGGCGTTTCTAAGGCGACTTTGTAAATCCGAGACAACATTTGCCGCAGATGTGAAATCTGTAAAGTCATAAGCAAAGAGTAAAGCCTCAATCTTCTCCAACCGAGTTTTGTGAGCGGCATCGGAGAAAAGTATGAGATTTGTGATAATGTTAGATATGGATTGGAAATGACGGTCGCTGGCAGAAACAGAGAACCGAGGGATACGGACTTGGACCAGATCCTGTCAGTTTGTCAATAAAATGCAGAAAAGTCATACACGCTAGTCTCACTGTCTCATTCTGTAAATGAGCATATTTGCCTCGACGGTGCTCATTGTCCGGCACAGACCGAGTGACTGATGTTACATTGTTACGTAGACGAAGGCGATTAAACCGATCGTACTGGCACGTAGCATTTGTCTGGGGGACTATTCGGTCGAAGGCGTCACTTTCACAACGGTAGTCGATGAGAACTTCCAGTGGCACACATCCATCGCCACAAGATTCCAAGTCTACAGGACAGAATGTCTGGAGACCGTCCACAGACATGTAACTCCTGTCAAGAAGTGAGGCTCCTGATATAACTAACTCAAAGTTCGAACATTACCTAGTCATGATGGTACCGCTGACCGGATCCTCCAGGTTAGACTTGTCCATAATCGTGAACGATTGCAGCTTAGCCTGAACAGCAGCCAAGACAGAAACGGAATCACTAGTTCCTTCACTGCGTAAAACGATCTGAGGCTTCAAAAGCAGGCAGAAATGGCATTTTTGTAATGCCACTCCTTCATCCCAGCCGACCAGAGGATTGACGGCACCATCTCCATCTGGGACGTCATCGTCATCGTCAACCTCGATCGAGACGTCATTACGATCCCGACTCAAGATTCTTTTTAGAACAGTTGCAGCAGTCTGAGCTGTATTCACGGGGCCCTTGAACTTCTGACGATCGGTCGGGGGCCCAGTTGACAGGACAGTTTCAGCCTGGTCCCTGATGAACTTGACAGCGCTAGAAGCCGTGAACGATCAAGGGGAAGCTAAGAGCATATGACAACAATTCACGAACCGCGTTGCCATATGATACTCAAATCCCTGTCGCGCCTTTGAACAGTTATAGTACTGTAGCATGACCTGTAGATTGTGATGAGTGCTAAGATCGGAGAAGCATACCAAGAATGCCGGACATCACGGATCGAATCGTTCATGAAAACCTTGGGAGCATGAAATTGGTAGACGTTCTCAAACTCTGCCCATTCGTCAGCCTCGACAGTCTCAGAAGGCATATAGTAGTTTTCAATGTTGCTGCTCCGAGAACCCGTGTGAGGAATTTCGGTCATTCGTAAATGATTCGCGTAGTCTTGTAACAAGGCTGTCATTCTGTGCAGAGAAGTTGAAGTCTGATGTTTTACTCAGTACATTATTGCTTCACAGATAAAGATTTGGATATACCCCTTCGTTGACGTGAGGGTTAAGGGTGGCAAGGTCCCGGAGTTGCGCGATTCGATGATTCGCGAGGTCAACTTCAATCTGCGGAACAGCTACATCCGGGTTATCAGACACAAGAGACGAGTAAGCAAAGCACTTCAAATAGCTTACAAGGCTCGCTTCCAAGGAGACACGTGTGCGTATCCTCTACGCCAAATTTGCTACCCTCCATAGCTCCAGAAGTGGCATTTTTCTTGAAATAAGTCAATCTGGAACAAAGCAACAATGGAAGGAGCTGTATATCTGGTTCAAGTTTGGAAGACCAATCTGTTTCCACGAAATCGTCGGCATCAATCCAGTCCGAGGGAGTGATTCTTGGTAACGGCTTTGTGCAGTTATTGGTGTCCCGATCACCTTCGAACGACAGAGGAATGGCTTGCTTCAGAGGCTCAGAAAAGGTGGCCAGCATGGCGCGAAGGTCCATGTCTTTCATGACCACCTCCGCCGCATAGAAGGGCTTATGTCGCACAACCTTGATGCTGTCCTGACCGTCGCCTGGAGCAATAGATTCTTGGTCCCTCTGGTGCATATCTGCTTGAAAATGGCCAACGTTAGCCTTGGTGCCCACAAACGAAGTGATTCCAGAAATCCAGGAGTCTCTCGTGTCATCAATGTAGACGTGAGATATGAATAAGCGAGGCACCACTATTCGGTACTTCACAGTTGCAAGGTGACGAGCAAACTTGGGGGACACTGTTTTGGAGGGATAATACGAGCCCTGTCTGACAGGCAAGGACAAATTGCCGTCAAAGAGTGCCCACCAGGACCAGAAATGAGCAAATGCGTGTGGTGTTAAATGGAAACTACTCGGGCTGGATAGATCGGTGCAGGTATGCGAATGCAGAGAAGATGTTAAAGACACGGAAAGGTGAATGAAGTCAGATCGGAAGCCCTTATAAGAGTCATGAAGTGTCTGAAGAAACAATCAGCGGGGGAAAGGCAATCGAAAGAACAGCCTAACCTGGGAGTGTTTGTCCGTTTTCGTAGTCGTAAGCTGCACTTCATGATGAGGCCGGAAGGCGAAAAAACGGCAATGACGGTCGAAAGAGGAACCGAGGCAGCAAGATGTACAATCTTCAGTGCTGCAAGACCGCTCTAGTATGACACCAACTCCAAAACGTACACCGGAGCCGAGTTTGGCACAGGTCTTGAGGCAACCAGGCGCGGCGCTGTGCGCTTCACTGGCGTCCAGCTTGTTTTGGGTGACGTCCCACTCACAATGGAACCTACTCTTGGTTTTCAGTCTCTCTGGTAATGTGAATTGAGACGACATTACTTTGGAATGATGATAGACATGGTATCACTTGACACCTGAATAAGTTCATTGACGTCGTTCGGAAATCCAATGAGTAATTTGGGATTGCCTTTCCAGCAGAGTCCGAAGCCAGCACCTTCATCGTGAAGGGTGTATGGATCACGTGTACCTAGTGTAGTGACATAAATTAAAACATATGACACATGACAGCACCTCAAGCCGCACCTTTCATGTAGAGTCTGACCTCGTTAACGAATGACACTTCGATAGTCCAGTGAAAAATGAGCCTCAGCTAAAACCACAATCAGATCCATAAACAGCAGAGGATAAATATGGGACGTGCCTTGTCCCAAAACCCAATGCTGGGAGACGGATCACGCGTTTCTGATGTCAAGCTCTCCAAGATCCGAACGAGATCTTGAGTAGTTGCGCTGTAGCTTGCACCCCAACCAAAAATTGTTACCCCATCCGTCATAACTTTGACAGTGGGATTAGCGTATGTCTTGACGGGCATGATGGTTTTGGGAATTTCAATAATGAGAGGGCTACTCGGGACAAAACCGCCTTGAGCCCCACCGATGGTACAGGGAATCCACTCGACAGATTGTGATGGTCCCATGTCCTCGGCAATGACCAAGTCAGAAATGAACCTCAGGACAGGCAGGTCTTTGCCTTCAGAATGAAACGGGATATGCAGGAGTGGCAACGGATAGTCTCGAAGTGTGACTTGAAGAGATCTCAAGGAGATATCGAGATGCATGGGAAGAAGGAGCGTGTAGAACGTGTCCTTAGGGACGCCCTGGCCTTGAACATATAAGAAGTCGGGTAGTTGCTCCGTTGGAAATGATGGCTGGGAGAGCTGTAACTGGAATCCATAGATAACGGCGCGGAATAGGGGTGGTGTACGGTGGCTACCGGTGACGTTCACGAGATTTGGAACACTGGTCGGGCGCTTCAATGGATTTGCTCCTCGGAAATCTCGGTGGAAGTCGTCTTCTTTGGCCGCCCGTTTTTGCCTCCGTTGTTTATGTCGCAGAAGCCAATCAAGGGAATGAAGCATGTGTAGTCTTTCCCGGGCCTCACGAACAGAAATAGAATGACCCGCATCAAACTGGTAGTCTGAGCTGAATGCAGTGTTATGTGACGGTGAAGCGTCAGCTCCTTCTGCAGCCAATATTGCAACGACTTTTGCGTCAAACGCGTCTTCCCGCTGAATGCGCTCTTTGGCAGCGTCGAGGCCGGTTCTCCAAAGCAACCCCAGCTGAGATTCGAAAGGGTCATCTGCTGCCTCCAAGCATATGGCACGGATGGACACCGAGATATTCGGTAAAACCATCGGACCTTCAGCCTCTGGGGGAGGGAAAGGAAAGTATGTGCCTGTGGCGACCATACGATGTATGTGGCGCGAAGCCTTAATTGTCAGGGTAATGGCAAGGAGCAATTCCGCGAGTACATATCCTGAAGGGACTGCGAAGCGGATACTGTCCCCTTCAATCAGGATAGCATCGTCAGGTTTACCTCCATAACTAACTGTGCACCTATGCAAACGCCCAAGCTCCTCCCATCGACCTTCCTCTATCTCCCTCCACCGATGCGGCTTTGCAGGCATCGGAACCCAGAACACGAATGAATTGAAGCAGCACTCGATATTCCCGGAGCTGACAGTCGCCTCCAGGTAGTTGATCCGCGTGACAGGCTGCTGCCCTGGTAGATTCCATCGGATCTGCAGTGCCTTGACCATCCCCCGGAAGCTCAAGCTCAGGGCGCGTGAGCCACTGGACATTTTTGCAGGTCGGAACTTGGGTATTATGTTCCGCAATACTTGAAGTGCAAGGAGGGAGGCAGTGACATGGCACAAGTCAAAGGAAACCCGGATTTCATCGACGGTCGCAGATATGGCGTGTGCACTGCACTGCAAAATTCCTGAGTTTTGTAACCTGATCCCTCGGGAAGTGACGTCGACCTCCGTTCTGTGTAAGAACACGAACTGTTTTCCTGTGAATACGTGATCGTCTTTTTCAAAGATATACGGGTCGTCCATCGAATACGTGTCAGCAGCAGCTGAACGCAGAGACGTCTTCCACAGAACCAATTTCCCATAAGCAGCACTTTCAGTGGACGCCGCAGAAGCCCTTGCAGAGACTAATGCTTCTGCGAGGTGGTCTGCAGGAAGATATAGCTTATGTCTGTTCTGCGCACGTGCCCTCGCATGCTCTACAGACTGAACTTGATCTGGATGCATAGAACAGTACCGCATTGCTATGCCTGTGTTAAACGCAATACCACGTGTGACATCGCTTTCTGCATTGGGATTGATATCTTGACCTGTGATGAAAAGGACCAGCCGAGCGACAGATAGAGACACGGCGTAACCAAGAGGTAGCATGAGGGGCTTATCAGATGGTGTAGGCGTACTTTCTTTCACCAAGAGTAAGGGAATAATGGCAATTACAGCAGCAACAGACTGCGGATGCCACAATTCCAATATGATCCCTTCTGTGTAGCAGTGTAGGTCGAGGAAAAGAGACTTGGTGCACAGCAAATTGAATGCGGTTTGTCCATCATCGATAAACTCCCCTACAGCAGTTAATTCTCCTCTGGCTTCAATTGCTTCGAGGGAAAGCAAGCTGTCAAACCCTTCCGAATTCGGATTATGTATGGAAAACCGTCTTGACGCTCTCCGCGGAAGAGAAGCTGTGTTCATATTCAAGAAGACAGGTTCCATATGAAAGTCCCACTGCAGTATCATGTGCAATCCAGTCTGATCAGAGAACACATGACCAGAATTGTATGTGATGGACGGCTTCACGCGGAACGTCGATATGAAATGGGCGTTAAGACCTTTGGACTCCAAGACTAGGGAAAATGGCGTCTGAGAGCCCATTGCATCCGCACAGATCAGACGTGCAGAAAGGCGGCCAACCTCAATATTGGCGATAATTCGAGGGATAGGTGATAAGGTCTCAGGGAGTGCGAGGGACGCGCGGGGAGGAGATGATATTTTTTGGCTGCTTAGTAGTTGATGTATCACATCCAAGCGATCCGTAACAGCAAATTCAGCGAGTGAGAGATCCATCATCAACAAAAGCCGATTTGGATCACCCGGTGGAATATGTTGCAAAGACGAAGGCCATTCCGATGTCGTGAAGGATGCATCTAGGGTACCGACAAGAAGCACCTGGAGGCTACTAGTGAAGACATTACTGAGCCTACTGAGAGCACTTTCCCGGATTTTGAGTCGCAAAACGTAAACGGAAAAAGTGGGCTGATGGTAAGATCCGAGCCAAGTGCGATGCGAAGAGTTGTGATCAGGGTCGCTTGGACTACAAACGCAAGATACGTCCTGCACAGAAGCCTTGTAAACGTCTCCTCCGAATGTTTTGGTGACGTTGATTGAACATATGTCCACTTGAATTTTGGATAACAAGGACAATGACTATGTTGCGTAGTGGGATGATGAACCTTTATCTCTCATCAAGATTTATATTCGCTCACCGTGTGAGACCTTCTCTGGCAAGAACGAGCGGGCGGCGATGAAAAGTGGGGACGATTAAAGGACTAAAATGAGGCGTTAAAATATTGAGCATCGACGGAGCCAGAGACACACACTGCAGAACTGCTTTCACTCGAAAGTATAGGACTTTGAAACGAAACTGGCGATGACAGTATGGGTGAAGCAGAAGATTCCGTGTTCTTGGTTTTCAGGTTGTCAATTATCGCAAGGATGGATTGCCAACGGTCGATGGAGACATGGACATTCGGAACGCACAAAGAAACCTCGACGCTACCCGCTTCTATCTTCCCGTCTTTTGGACTGAATCGAGCAGCCCCGCTGAGAGTTACTGTCTTAGACAGATATATGATTGGTTCGCTGCCTGGATGACCTGATAATGAGAGCATCAATATCATCCATTGATTCCAACCATGGATACTCACTATGAATAGGGGTGTCACCAATGACTTTATTGACCATTAAATTGAACGTTAAAGAAGCCTTTGTTTGGCCCAGTGTGCTATCCCAAGCACGTCTCCACGTACGCTTGAAACCCATCGCAAGCCGAGACTTCCATGCTCCCATGGCCAACGCTGCAGCAGACGGTCTGTGGTCCCCTTGACCGTTGATTTTGTCGGAATGAGGAACTGGGACCTGAAGATGGCTGAACGTAAGATGTGCGTCTAATTCTGCTCCTTCAACGACGAGTTGGGTATCTGGGATAGCTGTGTATGTGATGACAGCCGATTCGATTTCCAGGCGAAGGGCTTGAGTTAGAGTAGGGATGCGGTGAATCACCTGATTCAAAATAGACGTGACAGAAATGCGGATGATCGGGCGGATGATCGGGTCGAACATCCAATATACGGTTGACATGATGGACCATAGATGCAAAGCCAGAGGGGAGGGCGACAAGTCCACCAGAGTGATTCTACGCCTATGCTTAGTCCGAACGGGCAGCTCGCGTGATAGCTGCTCGAACTCAATTCTGAGACCCTGAATCTTGAGTAGAATTCCTCTAGGCTTGTCTTCCCCAGACGAACGGTAGGAATACCCAATGCGTTCAATATGCCACGTACGATTTCCCCGACGGAAGTATAGACCACGAATCGAGCGAAGACTGATGCTTCGCACACGTAGATGATTGGAAAAACGCATGACAACGTAAGGAGCGATATACGCCCTCGAAACAAACAGGAACACGACCACTGCCGCGAGGGAAGACACAAGCGTGAACCATGACCACAAAGTCAGGCCAAACTCATAGAACCAGAGCGCGAGACAGCTCATCCCAAAAACAGCACTAAGGCGATGCCGCAGAAATATTCGAGTCATTGATACGCTGTGTAGGTAGGGCGCTTGTGATAGAGTAGAGAGCCGGGAGCGGCGGCCAGGAATGAAACGTTGGAAGGAATGTTGGAAAGGAGAGGAAGAGTCAACGACAACAATTATGTACTAGCAGTGCAATAGCAGAATGTTGTGAACGCGTGAACCTCGAGTTGATGGTGTAGTCCTGGTCGTCCAGCTGCAGATGCCTTTCCCGAGTCGAAACGCGTACGAATTGCGTAAGTCAAGAAACAGCATGGCAATGAAACGGCACAGCCACAATCATCGTTTATGCAACATGTCACTCAGGAATTTATGCAAACTGAGAGCGCTGATAGTACAGATTCATGAAGGCCTACTTGCATAAAGAAAGCAATGAAAAGAGTAATGGAAATGTTGCAGTATGGCATATCATATATCTGATGTCGTCAACCCACCCAGCTCCATGATCCTAGCGTCCTCCACAATTAGAACACCATCTGATGAGGGAACTGGCCCTTCGACAGGCCGAAGGTGGCTTTAAGGTATTTTGCAAGGTTCTCCTGCTTCTGCACGGCAGCAATAACAGTCTTATCGACCTCCTTCTGGTCGGCGGATTTGGCTTCTGGGAAGGCCTCCTTTGCCTTCGGCTTGCCCTCCTCGAAGAACTCAGCCTCTGCAGAGCTTGATTTGGTTGCAGGTTTTGCAAAGTAAGCATCGTTGATCTTGGCATCGACCTGATACATGTACTAAGTTTGGCAATAATTCAGACTTGCTCTGACGCCATCCACGTACCTTGAATTCACCAAGATCAACCTTGGTGGATGTGGCAATAACATATGCTTGGTTCACCCGTCTGAGGGGAACGCCGTTGATCTTGTAAGGTCCAGTCACTAACAACAACCCGCTCTCAAGCTGCTTCAAGAAAACCACCCTCTTCCCTCTGAAACGACCAGCGAGTAAGATCAAGACGGTACCAGGGACGATTGTGGAACGAAGTTTGGCGGGCTTTGGTGACTTCCGGCTCTTCTTTGGTTGACGCACATCTTCTGCAGGGTAGAATCGGGGTGCTTTGGAGGTGGGTACGAGACGCGTGCCGCTGTTTTTGTCGCCGCCCACTGTCACTTCCTTGAAGGCGGGAGTTTCTGTGGGTGCGGGTTTGTCGGATTTTTTGAGACCCTTGTAAAGACCACGGCGTGAAGCAGCCTGTGAGCGCGAGAAGCGCCCAACGCCGGGTGCGAGTTGTCTGCTACGGGCCATCTAGAACGATTTCAGTCAGTTACTGCCTAAGAGTCATCCACAAGGCAGGATAGCCATCCAACTCTGATCTCCACCAAAATCGACGATCGATGGGACAGATATGTCCCAAGACCTTACAGCATTCTCCCTGAGGTCATAAAATGCAAAAATTCGTGCTCACAGTGTCAGTCTTGAGGATACTGTCTGTTGAGGCGTCCGTGTCTATCAATATTACCAGTACACAGACGAGTGGTATCGGAGTTCACAGCGTGAGAATGGAATTCCAAATAAGGTAAGTCACCGAAGTTGAAGATAGCGGTCTAGTTTTGCCAGTTTAACCAGTTGCATGCCCGGTCCTTGACGAAATTTAGCACAACTCCAGACTCACGGAGATGTAACTTAGAATCTATATGACAACATATAGTTTGGATTCGATAGATCATAAAAACCAACATCCCTAAAGCAAGACGGCACATGCTGGAGGATGCCCCCTTACGTTACTGATCAACAACAATTTCGAGCGCCTGGAACGAGTCGAGTAAAGAACAAAATAACCTAGCAAATGTTTTAATGCATGCAAGCTCCTCCGGTGTACATGTCATCTCCGGTTTTGAAAGTCAAATCTAATTGAAACTAGCTTTTTCATCCATGCCAATATTTCCTTCCGTGTTGGTAACGATGTGTTTTTCCACGTGGTGAGTTCGCCAATGATGCAGATGACCTCCTTCATGGTCGAGACTCGAGAGAGTATCGTTGTTGAGGTGGTTGATCATTACAACGGCGAGAATGATGAGGCGACATTTGAATGATATCTTCATTAGGAATGTCCGACAATGCACCTACATACATATAGCCTAGAGCAATTGGCCTAGAGTTCTGCCGGTTACAACCGGATATGTAGTTTTGGCCCCTACATTAACCCTCGGAACTAGCGGTCTTTGCCACGTCAGCCGGCCCCAGATTGCTTTTAAAGAAAACACAATCTGATTCATACCACAATATTAATCTACATACCCTCACTGACGATGTCTCCAGATGCCACACCTAAAGAAGGTCGGGTTTTTCCGCATTGCATCGTGCACTCTGACTCGTGTCAAAGATCCTAGATTGATCGTTTGGTTTGACATCGACAATACACTATATTCCGCCAGCACCAAGATTTCCCAAGCCATGGGTCAGCGCATCCATGGTTCGTCAGTGTTGAACTCTTTCAAATACTCTGAATGATAAACATGGAAAGAGCAGCATACTTTGTCGCTCTTGGGCTCGACGAGGACGAAGCCTCCGAGTTGCATCACTCATACTACACTCAGTACGGACTTGCACTTCGCGGGCTAACACGTTATCATAACATAGGTAGAACCTACGCTGCGACCGCCAACTGCTGAATAAACATAAGGTTCTAGATCCCATGGATTTCGATCGGAAATGTGATGGAACACTTCCTCTCGATGACCTCATTAAACCAGACCCGAGGCTACGAAAGCTCTTTCAAGATTTGGACAGAACCAAGGTGCGCGTATGGGCGTTGACAAATGCGTACAAAACCGTAAGCGCCGATTCGCATACTCGTGAATATATGACGCAGAATAACCGACCCTTCAGCACGCACAACGAGTGCTCAAGATATTAGACCTAGAAGATCAAATCGAGGGCCTTGTTTACTGCGATTACCAGCAAATCGGCTTTACTTGCAAACCGGAACCAGATTATTATCACAATGTCAGTTCTCCATACATGTTCAATCATGGCTGTCGACTCAATATTCTTGCACAGGCTATGAAACAAGCGGATGTTTCAGACCCATGTAAATGTTACTTCGTCGACGATAGTCAGCTCAATGTCAGAAGCGCTAAAGAACTTGGCTGGGGTCATTGTGTACACTTTTGCGAGGCCGGTTTGGAAATTATGGATGGCGGAAAGACGAAGAAACTTGTTCTGGACACCAATACTAATGACCCCCAGAGCATCAGGCAGATCAGTGATCTAGAAGAACTCAGGACTCTCTGGCCCGAGATCTTTATATAACAAACTTTTACACGAAACAATCTAGAGTGCTTGCGGTACGACAGTCACGTTTTCGCAAATCGGCAAAGACTGGTATGTTGTCATTCCCGGATGACGTCCAGTTTGGCGTCGAAAGATAAGACAGAAGGAAATCGGGGATCGATCAATCATCAAGGACATCTCCAACTTGTGGACCTTAAACACCTCGGCGTCGATCGAGCAGCGTCTGCATATCTGATATCAATGCGATGTAATTTTACTGGCTGTAGCACGAGCTACAAGCTTCAAGGCTCCATCACTTTTCCGATAGGATGCATCAAAAGGGCCGAATGAACACGATTGGAACTGTCATCTCTGGGAGGCATCAAAATGCTTCTCTGCTCGCAGCAGTCTCTGGTGACAATCTTGAAGGTCCCAGGACCCGAATCGATGTCACTCGATGAGATTGATACCGAGTTTGCTTGACTGGAAGATATTTGCAACACGGATAAGATGATGGACACGGAGTTTGCTTCGGACTGGGATGCGGATGGAAATTAAGTCTTGAACATTTGACTTGCGGAACTGCAACATGATGGGATTATCATGGTCGTGGACCGCCGTGATGCCGACGATGATGAGATTTGGAATGACCTGATGCTTACTGGTATTTAGTTACAGTGGTTCTACATCCACTTCTAATACCATCAAAACAAAATCTGCAATCTGCCACGCTTGCTGGACATTTCTGCCAGCAGAACTACTTCTACCCACTACTAGTATGTGTATAAAAGCAATGTGGTAGCTATGATTTCGATAACAACTTCCACTAGCCTTTAATGTCGTATACTCTGACATTAATCAATATGGTTTACTTATAGCGCTCGCTGCATCAAATGAGTCTATACGGTTCACTCGCCTCACGAACAAGCTGCCACGGACTAAGGTGAAAGTCAGCAGGGCCGAACCCTACTAGTACTAGTCACGTATAGTAGAGGTGGGCGTTATGCTGTGTCGCTGTGCGTTGATGGCGGTCTCTCTCCCATCTCCTCTTATGAAAGAAGGGCCAGTGTCGTCGCGTATAGATAGTATGGATCTAGGTAGATAACTTATAATTCCTGAGTACAAGGTTGATATATAATTCAAAACAACATCACAGTCACGACTTGTGATGCTTCATTCACCTCCAAAATCACACCGTCATAACCATACAAACCTGTAGAATAGTCAGTCTGAGAGGTATATCGAAAGGACTGAAAACTGACGGGTTGACGAGTTAGGCAGTGTGATAGTATCATATTCATCCGTGCGATCTAGTAACATGGAGGGTAGCATCTCTCCAGGACTGAGAAAACGCCTGATTGTCTCAAACTAAACTTTTGGATCAGCACCGCATCAATACAGTAAAACTGAGAACCGGAAACCTTTTCATGAAAGTGCTTGCGGGGAGGTGAATCTAAATCATGCTCTGATGAACGCAGGTAAGAAAAATGAAAGTGAGGCAAGTCACCGTCTTCGTCATCTTCGGGTTTGCCCTCCAACTGCCAAGGGCATCGTTTATATCGCTGAAAGAGCGGGGAGCCAGGCTATACGGGTTTGCAAAAAGTTCACAGAGAGGCTATACGTGTCGTACCATATTTGAATGTATGATAATCTTTCGCACAACATGAGTCTGGCCGGATATTAGGAAGTCCACACCGTGATGGAAGTAATTATAGAAATCTAGATCATTAACGCTGAGCGGCAATGCTTTTGAGGAGTTCAGATTCATTTACAGTCGGTGCTACCATCATCTTCAGATACTTGTAGGTTCGGTGAGTGAATGGTCATTCGTTCGTCCTCCTTGTGATGAACTCGAGAAGGAGGTCCAAGATCAATTGTCAGGTCTTGTGCTGTAGTTTCTCCGATGCGAACCTGGAGAAGCAAGGGAGAAGAGAAAAAATTAAAGTGCACGCCATCATGTATCTGATTTGATTGAAGTATTAGTTTGGTTACACAAAAAATATAAGCAGGGATGACCTTGATAACTGCGCTGGAAATGTCACCGTGCATGATTGGACATGGTAATACCTCGTCCAAAGCATCGCGCTCCTCTCCATCTACACTTTTTTGTCTGATAAAGATACGCTTTACTTCTTGTGTTCGTTGCTCTAGGTGCGTGATGCCCCCTTTGAATCCTTCGTTGACACCATCGTCATCGAAGCTGAACCATATGCCAGGGTACTTTAGTTCATCTCCTGGATATGTTGGACCAAAGGTGCGGCTGACATGTACTCTAACCAAAGGTTCTGCAGACGACGATATGACTGTATCTTTGTAGCGAAGTATCACCGGTGGATGAGGTTCCCTGAGTTTCCGTACGCAGATAGTATGGAGGCGTTGATGGTATCCTGAAAACAAGAGGTCCAGGTGGGGACGAAGGTGAAGAATTACCGGTGTCGTGGCAGAGTCCTCTGGATCAAACTTGACCTCAACCTGAGGAAATAGATGTTGAAGTCCGCGCAAGATGTCGATGACTGCCCAAAGGGAAGTACCTGATACAGATTCAAACGGCATGAGTCTCGTACTCATTCGGAGAGCCTTTGCAAACACACCTAACTCAAACATTCCGATCCCAGATCCAGGTCTGATGTCGAGGTCTAATGTTGCGAACATATTGAGGCTCACCGCAGATACGCCTGAGTGGAGCACGAAACAGTTACATACCTAAGGTAGTAACTTCATCAACCACGTGACTACGCCAGAAGCTGCGTACTATGGCCAAACAAAAATTCATATTGATATTGTTGCCGAAGCGCGGTGTTTGAGGTCAATCTCTTCCGTCATAGTACTTACTTCGGTTCTGCTCGACGAGTTTCATCGCGGCCGCATCTCACATAACGTTGTGTATCTTGCATTTTAGACTGCCGAGACTGTCCGGACAACTCAAGGAACCTAGCGTGAGTAGCAAGTCCTCTGAACGCGTCCGAGTCTTTGGATAGTGGACACGTCACGTCGATTCTCTACAGTCTTGAACTTGAAGTCGCCATCCTTTTTTTTCTTGTCACACACGCGCAGGAATGGCTGATGGTCGACAACTCACAATAATCAAGGTTCAAACCTCTGTCATAACAATTGATACTCGCAGCTGATTGTATTCACGACAAAAGGTCTTTCGAAAATACAGCCATTCGCTAGGTCCAGATGCTCTACAATTCCTGGAAGAAATCCTTGAAAAGCATGATATAGCGGACAATGACGTGGAGTTCTCAATCGAGACCATTGCGAGGGAGTATAACAAACAAGATGGTGACGCGTTTGTTGGGTCAGGGGTGTTTAGCAAGGCTAACCCTTACAGAAGATGCTGCCATGAAAGTTTCATTAGACATCTTGCGGAGAGTCTACGACGCGTTACAGGACCAAGGCAATCCGGGGGAAGCAGAAGAATTACTAGACCCTGATAGCCATCTCTACTTCGTAGACGCATTTGAAATGCCATCATGGCACTGGTCTCAGGAAAGAGGAACATTCGAGAAGTGTGTTCGTATCATACCTTGCTTTTAGCTTTGGATCTCATTTCAATCAAGATCTTCTAGCCCTCTCACTGTTGCGGGTAGCGCAGACTCGCGAATAGCGGCGGTACGCAACCGACTACACATAATCAAGCAGAGCATCTTACGAAACGAACACTTCTCACCATCTACTCTTCCATCTCGAGACCGAGAACATCTTGTCACGGTACTCAGTAATCTGATATCGAGGGCCCAACGCTGATCCATGACTCGATCAGCTCAAATCCACAAAGCAGCTGCTTGGTAGAGCCGGCGAACGCTTCTTGCTCTTAGGAATGCTTGCGCACAACAAAGAAGGGAAATTGTGTGTCGAGGACTCGGACGGAAGCGTCGAGCTTGATCTGTCCAAAATGGCAAGAATCTTGAGATCTCGAAATGACGTTGCTCTTACGACTTTGTTAGGACGAACCAGGCGAAGGGTTGTATACGGAGGGCTGCTTCGCCCTTGTAGAAGGGGAATACAATGAAGATGGCATCCTCGAGGTCGTGGCTATGGGACAACCTCCTTGCGAGGATCGGGAGACTGCTAGGCATGTTCTTTCGATTTTGTCACTATGGTTGCTCACGGAGAATAGGTCAATCTACGGTCACATCGACTTCTTGGGGCAAGGTTCAACTTCCCTGCTCGAAGATGTGAGCTATCCTCACTTTTGTGTGCAGGACATCGGCTAACCATGCTGCAGTCACAGTTCGCCCGTCGGATTCATGAAGAACTCTCCGACCTCTATTTCTTCTTCCTTTCAGATGTTTGGCTAGATCACCCTCAAACTCTCGTTGGACTTCAGAAGATGTTCGACAATTGCATCGAGAACAGCTTCATACCTAAGGTCATCGTTATGTGTGGTAATTTCACGAGCAAATCAATAATGCAGGGGGGCGGTAGAGACATCCAGCATTATCAGGGTTCGTGCAGGTTGATTCATGAACGCACTCGATGCTCACTCAATTTAACTGAACAGAAAATTTCGATTCCCTGGCCGATTTAATAGCATCATACCCTCAAATTACTCGAGAAACACACTTCGTCTTTGTTCCAGGGCCTCTAGATATCACGGGCAGCAGTGCCCTTCCCCGCAGACCAATTCTATCTACATTTACGTCCCATCTCCGCAGCAAGATTCCAAAAGTCCACTTCACCAGCAATCCTTGCCGCTTGAAGTTTTTCGGTCAGGAGGTTGTTATATTTAGGGAGGATACCATGGCACGAATGTTGAGAAACACGATTGGCATAAAACCAAATGTCACTGGTGAAGATTTGAGACGATATGTACGTACGAAATTTGTATTAGCATGCAAACGTTACTGACCTGAGGCTCAGTTGGTCCAGTCGATATTAGACCAAAGTCATCTTACCCCACTGACTACACATATCCAACCTGTATTGCCAGACTTCGACCATGCACTCCGACTATACCCTCTCCCGACCGCCGTGAGTAGTTGTCTCATTTTCATGCGTCCAAATCATAATGCCATCCTAGGTGATTCTGGCTGACAAGTATGAGAAATACAAGTTGACATACTCGGGATGTCACGTATTCAATCCTGGAGGTTTTGTTGGCAATTCTTTTTCTTTTTCGACATATTGCCCTGCCGAGAGGAGTTCTGAAGAGGGGTACGTGATATAACTGGCTTGTCTAAGATCGCACCTGATGTTACTGGTATTAGTGTGCTCGACATTGAGCAGGAAGACTAACTCGAAATTGGTGGTCAGTGTCGCAAGAATGTTCATCTATACTAAGATCTGTTCAATGCAATCGGTCGGTACACCAGAGAAGCTGGACGTCGATGTCTATCACCACTTACACACAAAAGCTAATCTTATGTAGCGATCAAACTTGTCGATGAAGACAAAGCGATATGAGTTCACTTGTGGCAATTGGAAAAACCGAGCACCACGAAGACTGTTGTGTACGTCTGAGTTTCATGGTTTCACATATCGATGCCGCCGCACACGGTACCATTGGTTCGTGCGCGTGAAGTTGTATTCAACGCAGACAGATATCCATCAAAAAATATTCGCCTGAATTCCGAATGGCACCACAGGAATAGTTGTTGCTGGCACTTTACTGTAACGCTCGTCAAAAGCCATCGTCGAATATTGGCGATGGCAACCAATATTCTCGTTGTTACCTTTCTACTGACTCATCTCTTCTCTCACATTCTTTAGTGTTCCTCACTCTACAGTATTTAAGCCGCCTGTTAACTACTGGTAGAGTACTTGATCTTCCCCAGTCTTTCCCCACTGAATACATTTATGTAGTTCGGACGGTTCTATCGCCTGAAACCCAAGTCTATTCATCTTCAACTCTCTTGTGTGAATGTTTTCCAAACGTCACATAAATTGAACTGCCTTGAAATCTAAATCCCATTCCACTACGGCCGCCATCGACGAGGACTGATCACCCTCGTACGTCGACGACCCTTTCTATCTTCCCCCTCCTCTCCTCGTATGATATCTTCGACTATGTCAATGAATGAAAACGTACCTGGTACCTTCCCGTTGAACTCTCCAATCCCTATGGGCGGATTGAGCATTTATCCGGGCGCACTCAACCTGGGTGTCGAAAGTGCATGGACTCGCGGTGACGAAGTCATTGCTGGAGTCAAGCGGTCCTTGAGTCTGAGGGCTGAAGCCCCGACTAGTGATCAGCTATCCACAGGCTCGTGGTTGGGAGTTCTGGAAGCCCTGTCAAAAATTAGTTCCTCACCCACGGGTGATGGAGAGAACGCATCATCTAAAGTAAATGATGATGGCGAGGCATCTGCTGCTATGAGCATTAGCCCTATTCTGGGTAGTGTAGTTGGACTACATACCTCACAACTAGTGGTTTGCGACTCCGAGTCTAAAGGTGTTGACTTTGCAACTGGTTACTGCTAATGATAATATCAATGAGTTCCCATCAATCCATGAGTTGGCTTGACTCACCTGACGACAAGGAACTAGTAGGCGAAGTGCCTGAGTTCTCCGTTCTGGGTCCATCTGTCCGATCAACGATATCAGTTCAAAATATGTGGCGTTTGGAAAACGTTCACATGAGAGAGTTGAGGATGAATAGACTTGGGTTTCAGACGATAGAACCGTCCGAACTAAATGTATTCAGTGGGGAAAGATCAAGTACTCTACCAGTAGTTAACAGACGATTTATTAAATACTGTAGAGTGGGGAACACTAAAGAATATGAGAGACTAAAATGAGTCAGTAGAAAGCTAACAATGAGAATATTGGTTGCCGCATCACCAATATTCGACGATGGCTTTTGACGAGCGTTACATTTACGCCCCCTAAGGAATAAAAGCGGCAGCAATAAGCAATGCTCAGCGGTCTTAATTGCCTGGTCGAGTCGGCCATGTGCAATGTGCATCACATCTGATCTCCTTGAAGCGCAGTGAGTTATGAGACTCGGGAGGTGTTATAACTAGATAGCATAGCTGTGTTGGACGATGGATGAAAAATGTAAGGTCTGACGCGCAGTAGCATGAACTTGAAGGGAGCGCGAGTGAAAAGTCCGAATTTAAATTTGTTCTAGTATTGACCATTATTTGACTTTGACAATCGCCATCCCTAGCTTGTGTTCTGCTTCAACTTTGTTCATGCTCGTTCATGCTCGCTCACTGCTCTGCACGACGAGCAGTCAACGTACTTCACCGACCATGCGGGAACGTTCAACCTCGTAGCTTTCAAAGACGAACGTTCGTTAGCATCGAGACATTTACAAATGGGTTTCTGGATCTAGCCACCGCTCTGCCTCTACCATCGTCCTTTCCTCCGTATTCTACGACTATTATCATCTGCACGGTCGTTTCGCGTCTCATCTGGACCGTGCCATTTTCAATATGGGTGTGTCTTTCTTCCTGAGCCCCGTGTGTCGTCAAATCAATTTCTCCTCCTAGGCAAAGCAGAGACAGCGTCGCGCGGAGGAAGAGGTCCTGCCTATAGTCAACTCCTTAAAACCTGGTGTATCAAAACTAGTTCTCACCGAAATGCAGAAAATTGGTGTCCGTGGTACGAAGGAACAAATTCAAGCGGCCCATGGCAAACGCGTCAAGCAACTCGTGAGTTGTCGGGTGTTTCTCTCACCCTAGTCTAACACCATCCACAGTTGACCACGCGTCAAAAACAACTTTTTTCGGAGTACCGCTGTAGTCCTGGATTCACAATGGCAATACCTATAATTACACAGGTTCCGTTGTTCATGGGGTTCTCGATAGTGCTCAACCGATTATCACAAGCACCCACTCCGTTTGACTCCGAATCGTTCTTGACGCTTTCCACACTGGCGCACGCAGACCCTACAGCTACCCTACCAATTGCACTCGGTCTCATAACCCTAGCCAATGTCGAAAGTTCACGCTGGTTCATGACCGACGCGCAACGCGAGCGTCAGGAAAAAGTTCAGAAATGGAAAGAAGATCGTGTTGCTCGAGGAGAGACTGTGATTGAACCTCAGAAGATCATTAAGTCTGCGCTGAGATTGATATCTGTTGGTCGTATCGTTGTTGCGACCATGGTGCCAGGGGTAAGCATGTCTTCGGTGCATTTTGAATTTTGGATCTTAGCTCACCTCATCATTCAGGGTGTCATTCTTTACTGGATCACCTCAGCCACTTTTGGGTTGGTGCAGACATGGATCATGGACTATTTGGAACTGCAGAGAAAGCGGAAACTAGTACTAGCTCCCGCACTCTCTAAAAAGATACCGACAGCCAAGCAGTAATAACAACGGTTCTCATGCACTGTTGTGCGTGGATGTTGGTGAGTAGAAATATTTCATTCTGGTTGGGCGGGATGACTATAAACGTGGTTCGAGGGACCACCAAGTAACCCTTCCAAGGAAGTGGTCGGTGGATCCTATGAATGTTTCTTGATCTAATATGACCGCCCTCGATTCTCCCTCCATGCACTCAGGAAGCTGATAAAATCTGCCTTGACAGACCCGAAGTCGATTTGATCCGTGCTAAATGATAGAATCGAATGGATCATGGGCTTATAACGGCTGCAGTCGAGTATACAGGAGTCATTATCATCTCTCCTACTTAGAGAATACTACCAGGAACCAGTAATAGGGTTGTGCTAGGATATAGAATATTGAATACTTGTGGAATACATGTAGCGTTGCTACAAGACCTCAAAAGTAGCACAGCCACAAGGAAGCACATTTATGATCAACTACATCCTGCTAGTATCACGACAAGGCCCGTCACCTTCCTTCAACCCATCAAAGTGTTATTGACTTATCGGATAACCAGGCAAAGTACGCCTTGCGAAATGGTTTTCCACCATGCCGCCCAAGGCAAAAGCCAAGATTGTAAAGGACGTCACTCAGCTCGTCCTGGCTAGGCGCACGCGGATGTGTAATTTCCTGGAGTACAAGGGCGAGTTTCTTTCTGTAGTATGTAAGAAAGTAGGGAGTTGACGTTGATAACGCAGATACCAAGGTCGTATACCGCCGATATGCATCGTTGTTCTTCGTTTGTGGGATTGCCTCAGGGGATAACGAACTGATCACGCTTGAGATTATTCACCGTTACGTCGAGGTTTTGGACCGGTATTTTGGAAATGTGCGTTTCTATTCGCGTTGTTCTTGGATGATGATGTACTCATTGAAAGGGTATCATATAGGTATGCGAGCTAGACCTGTACGTTTTGAAAGTGTCGTAGTATGCGAGACCTTTTTGTTCACTGATTTGTATCAATTAGCATCTTCAATTTCCAGAAAGCGTATGCGGTGCGCTGTCAACTTTTATTGATCATGTAGTTTTCACATATCACTTGGCAGATTCTGGACGAGCTCATAATCGCAGGAGAGATGCAAGAATCCTCCAAGAAGTCGGTGCTGCGCGTGGTCAGTGCTTCGTTGCTATAGCGCCGAGACAAGTTGAACGGATGCACATCACAGGTCACGCAATCGGATAGCGTCGAAGAGCAAGAGTCCTCCGAGGACATCATAGGTCGTTTGGGAGCTGCACGCGGTTAGACTCATTTTCTTTCCTGTGGTGCTAGCTGTATCTATAGGATTTCAAGGCCCCTTGATCCGCTGAAAGTCAACTCAACCGCTTTGGATTTAATTGTTGTACTGAGAGGCATGACACGGGTAGTGTATGACGGATGTCGATGTCTCATACTTGAGAGGTATGCCTAGACGATACCCAGAAGTAACGGTAGTGGCAGTGACAGTACTACTCTACGTCTTTGCAGTCGGCTTTAGCTTGTTCAGGACATACCATCTCACAAGATCAAGTGTTGCTACAGAGTCCTCGACTGAAGAATGACCGCTTGTTCCTCCACCAGCCTGGATTGTGAGACCGAGATGTTCTTTCGCTCTGATATAATTTCGTAAATAGGTGGTATGGAATCATATTTGGAATGACGTACAGATCCCTCAAAGAACGTCGATATGGAGGACCTGCACGATGAGGAAAGATGATAGCTGTATCGACGCACTGGTGGTGGATCATCCGAAGTGTGTTAAGATCGTTGTGAAGGGCGTGGCCGATGATGATGGTATGGTGATTAATGAATGCATCGAGGGATTTGCGTATAGAAGATAATGAGAGCGTAGCTTGCGCATGCTCTTCCTGGGTAATGCCTGAAAATCGTGTATTATAATCTCTGTAAAAAAAAAAGGTCAGGTTCACGATCGCAGGAACCGATAATGGGGGGAACAACTAACATGGCTTCAACCCCATCATCCATTCTTGCTAGCTCATCAAAAACTTGTTTCCCGGAGCCATCGACAACCGAAACACGGGCGACACGCATACCTCCAGTCGTGTAAATCATCTCGCAATCTAAAGCCACGACATCTAAAGCTGTATCCGTCTTCGTATCAGCAACTGATGGACGTGTAAATGAGAATGCATGGCGTGAGTGCAAGTCTTCTGCTTTAGACTCGTAAAAGACGTGGTGGCCTCTGGTACATCCTCCTTCCTCAGCTGGCTTCTGGCAGCAAGAATAACAACGCATACGCTCGCCTTCAAAGAGTGTCAAAGAATGTCTGCCGCGCTATGAGAATTGATTACCATTGACTTTGTGCGTGAAGAGCTTTCCCCAGTGATATTGACATTCTTCCGCTGTGGGATTATTTTTGACCATGTATGACTGGGTACATCGTTCGCATTGAATGATTTTTCCTTCAGCACTCGGTTGATCGCCTCCAAGCCCTTCAGGCATGTCGGTAATAAAGCCCCACGTCTGCATGGCCTCCAAAGACATAACGATTGGTTTGAGAAGGAGTCGAGTTACCTGGAGGTCATTCAGTTTTTTCTTGGATTCCGCACGAGCTGCCAGATCTTCCTCAGTTCCTACTGAAGGATGTGATATAGACGTAGGTATTGGACGTCGCTTCAAGGCTGCTATTGAATTTATGACAGCCTAAATGATAGTTTGAGATGTGCGAGCTGGCAACGGATGGAGCGCACGTTGCGATAAGTCAACTTGGTAGACTTGCTGTAAACTTGTTCCTCTTGCCGAAGGGCATGTTCAGAGGCAAGGGTCGGGTTTGAGGGTAGTATAGTCTCGTAAAGGACGACAAAGTGCTCATACAGTGACTTTAGCAATGTTTGACGAACTGGGAGGGCGACTTGAGATTGAGCAGGATTGATTCTAATAATCGGTATGCCAGTCTATATAACACGATCAATGAATTTCAGTATTGAAATTGTCGGTGCATGCGCATGCGTACACTAGTGTGCGATGCGGCAGGGACGGCAACTGGCTTCTGTGCGGTGCCGACTCTGAGACGTTGTGTCGGGGGACCGCTTGGAGCCCCATTGCTATTGGAAGACGGTCCCTGTGCTAGGTTATGAAAGGGCCGCTTTGAGGGCACTGCGCGCTGTACGACATTGGCAGATGGCGTCTGTGGGAGGGGTCGCACCTTCTGTACGGGAATGTCAAGAGAATGGTGAGAAGGGAGATCTAAGTTATGCGAGAATATACATGATGGACGATTACAATTATTTCTCTGTGGACATGATAGTGATTGAAAGAGACCTAGAGATGAAAACATAGTATGTGTATGTAGCAGATAAAAGAGTGGATGACATAATCAAGTACTTGTTTCATTTCGGAGTTGGATCCTCGTCAATTCAAACAATATATTTCCACACAGTCTCAAGTATATTTAGAGCCAGGCCATGTCTACGCACGGCTCCCCTGGCAATGAGAAGCTTCTCAAAAGACGACCTCGAGCTTCTTCTTTGCATCGCATAGAGTATGTATCTTTCAACTTTTTTTTAGTCGTACCACATGTTCTCACATTTATCCAGGACTGACAAAGGGCATCATCTAACAGGCCCCTTCATGGTCCAAACGTGAGTCTTCATTCCATCTCTCATCTTCTCTGTCTTCAAAATCACCGGATAGACCTTTGGGGTCTACTACGCCAGAGTCTTGTGACTCCCCCGTCTCCAGCGGTAGCTTCCGCATGGCCAAACAGAAAGGGGGCTTTGTCGCAGACCTTCTCAGCGCTAGATGGGTTGTAAATCCGGGTCGGTCCATTTTTCTTCCTATGCCATTTCCATATTTAACCCTCTTTGCAGTCTCATCTTTCAAGTTGCTTATGATACCCGTCTTATTGTACATCAACTGGGAATTATTGGCCCCTTACATTGCTCCACAACTCTCCAATCCAGTCGCCCCTCTTCTTCTCATATCTTATCGAATTCCTGATTCCTCTCCCGACGACCCGCGCTATGCTAAAGGCTATTTAGATCTGGCTTTTCTTGCATTCCACATCGTTTTCTACTCCTTCGTACGCCAATTCGTCACTATTGTCATTTGTCACCCCATCGCTCGCTACTTCGGCATAAAAAAGGCCGCAAAACTCGACCGGTTTGGTGAACAAGGTTATGCTCTACTGTACTTTGCGGTTATGGGTGCATGGGGCTACGTAAGTTCATTAATCATCTTGCACTATACCTTTTTTGAACCTGGCCTAAGCGCATCATGGGTCAACTTCCAACATGGTGGTATCGTACGGAATATTTTTGGATTGGTACACAACTTTCTTGCAAATATGTTCTTGTTTGACTCTCTTTCCAGATTACCCTCACTGGCAGATGAAACCCGAACTTAAACGTTACTTCCTAATGCACGCATCTTATTGGTGTCAGCAGCTTATCGTACTGCTCCTACGTCTTGAGAAACCACGCAAGGACTACAACGAACTCATCATACATCACTTCGTCACCCTATGGTTAATTGGGTAAGTTTCGAAACATTACAATGTTTGATTTCTGGTCTGATTATGAACAGATGGGGCTACCTGACCAATTTGACATTGATCGGACATGCTATCTACATGAGTATGGATATACCGGATGCTTTCCTGGCTGTTCGTTTCCGATCCGAATGCATTTTTCACGACCTGACCTACGCTGTTGACAGTTCTCCAAGTTGCTTAATTACATGGGATGGCATAGACTCAAAGTGGGCTCCCTTGCAGTTTTCCTCGTCGCATGGACGTGAGTGCTTTTCACGCATTTATTTTCCGTCACCGACCCCTTCAGTTACTTCCGGCATTGGTTGAACCTCGTTATCCTCTGGTCTATATGGTTTGAGTTTGATCTTATCGAGTACGTGTTCTTTTACCTACCGGATTATTGATTTACCGGTTGCATGCAGTGAGAGTAATCGTGTATGGGCCCCCGAAACTGGCGCTTGGCTCGTTTGGTGGATGAAATATCAACTACTCTTTCCCATCTCCCTCCTCCAGCTGCTCAATCTTTTCTGGTACTATCTTATCTTGCGCATTGTCATAAGGTCATACGTTCGGTCTCTATACCTTTTTGTCACTCATTTTTGCATATCGCAGATCATTAAGGGATGTTGAAGTTACGGATGTCCGATCTGACGACGAGGATGGTGATGACGATGACGATGACACAGAAGATGTCAAGGAAGACTAGCCAAAAATTTACTCATGCTTACGTAATGACCTGTTGGGCCCTTCTATCTGTGCGAGTCTCCAGGACAGCACACATTGCTATCATGTAATTTGAGTACTGTTACGGACACATTGCACGAACCATGATGCGTTTTCGGAAAGTACAATCGTAGTACATCAGTTAAAAGAATTGATTTCATCGTGAAGACATTCCGGCCCGAATTTCATGCTGCAACTTGCTCCTCAGGCTTAGTTTTGTTGATAACGGGCCCGACACCTTCCATGTCTGAATAATCACTATCTTCCTCCCAGGGCTCGAATTTGACCTTCACTCCAGCTCCGGTTTGAGGAGCAGCGGGGTGAGAGGTGTTACCTGTCCGGTTGGGCCACCTCTTCTCCCTCTGCATATCTAGAGGGTCGCCGGAGGCCATTTCCTTTATGGCCAGCAAAGTGTACTGAAGATATTGTTAGTCAAACTTGTCTTGAGTCAAACAGATCTAAACGTACATGCGCATCATTACCTGCATTGTGCAGGAATGAAGTAGGGATTTGCAGATGCCTGCATACTCGCTCTAGCGAACGTCTGTTGTGACCTCCTTCGCCTTCCAGTGCAGCAAATAAGTCGGACGTATCTAATACAAAGACGCCACTGTCTGGCTTTGCATCGGGAAGCAGGAAACTGAGGTTGGGCAGGTCTGCATTAACGGTAGGAGACTTGAGGTACCTGCCAAAGTATTAGCGGTCAGACGCGTGAACTCTCAACCATCCTCTCACTTGATGTCTTGGTTATTATCGTGAAATATCAAGAAAAGTGGGCCATCCTTTTGCAGGTCAGCCACCAGATTCTGGATGCGGGTCCTGAAAGCAGATCGATTGACAAGTTCACTGTCCCCAAATGAAAAGTGCTAAATCATTCGCGCTAAGGTCAGTCACAAGCAGCAACATCTCGACTTTCCTACCTCGCGATTGTTCTGAACGAATGTATTGGTATAATGGCGATATTCCTTCACGATGAGATGTCCTTGTTCTTCAACTTGCTGGCCATCGATCCACCGGACAAAGCTCCATCCAAACTCAGTGAGCATGGTGTGGTCCCTGTCCCATGCTTCGAAGTCCAGAGCACACCAAACACCGACTTTCTCCACCCAGAGAGTGCGGACGCGTTCAAAAATCTCACGACGCGTTTTCAACATCGGATCTGCTCCCTTCAAACGCTTGTTGTTCTTTTCTATTTGCTAGATATTCCTGCAGTCAGAAACGACACGCTGAGGTGTTTGGCGTAACATACCTTGAGAGCACCCTTGAGATCGTCTTTGGTCTTGAATGTGACGGGCGAGACGTGGCGCAGGCTAGATTCAGTTAGAAGACAATCGGAATAAGGAAGAGATATAAGGTTTTTTGTGAGGCCCATGGCATGCAGCCAGTATCTCAGGTATTCCACCTGCGCTGAGGAGAAGAGCAATCGCGTCTCAAAATTCTGGAGCGTCCCTAGATAGAGATAAGACACACTATGCTGCGCAGCGCAGCGATTTCAATTACCCAAGAAGAGTTCGGCTCCATCGATGCCCTCTTTGTGGAGGGGGTGATCTGGATGAATGAAAGCATCCTGCGCTAACGATGCCCTCAAAGGACTCCGATCTGCCTCTGGTAAGGCTTGGTGCCTGTGCAATCCACGATTTTCCGTCAGCAAGTTGTTATCCACTAGATCTATCATACCATTCAAAGAAAATATCAGTATAACGATAATACCCTGTGATGACTGGGGACACCATGATTGATAAAGGTAAAGACAACGTGCGGCGCTTAGATCGCGCTGTTTCATTTATTGTTTACCATAAATGGAAGGTATGTTCGAGTTTGTCGCCGAGTCGCCGACCACACATACACATCCACTCCTCCTAGCCATTTATCACATTATAAACCAAAGCCTATCCCTTCTCATCTATTCCATTTCGCGCTTATTCTTGAATCGAATGGCACAAACCGTACAGAAGCGCAAGAGACCGACCGGTGCCACACAAGAGGATAGTTCAGAAGAACCCGGGCCCTCCAAGCGGCCCAAACACCCAACAGCGCGTAAGAGCACTGGTAGGGAAAAACCAGCTCCTGCTTCTGCAAGGGGTGGAAAAATACGAGGTATGTACGCGTCCAGTCGCGTCTATACACGTGTTAACCTCACCCGTACAGCCTCGAACGCAGGCGCAGAGGACGAGCGGGATCAACAGCGGAAGAAACGTCGTTATCGTCCTGGTACTCTCGCATTACGCGAAATTCGGAAGTATCAACGGAGCACAGACTTGCTGTTGCGCAGGCTTCCTTTCTCGCGTGTGGTATGTTTTTCATTGTGTTTCAGCCTAGGTGTGCTGAATGAGAGCTCCAGGTACGTGAAATCGCGATGGATATGATGACAGACACAAATTACGAGAGAGGGGAGACTGGACTAAGGTGGCAGAGCTCAGCAATCATGGCTTTACAAGAAGCTACTGAGGCATTCTTAGTTCATTTGTTCGAGGATGCGTACGTCCCACTCTTGTGTCTATTGAGTCTATCCTAACAGTGGTACAGCAATTTGTGTGCAATACACGCCAAACGCGTAACAATCATGCAGCGCGACATTCAGCTTGCTCGAAGAATAAGGGGGCCGTGGGGTGGTTTAGGGTAGGGGTTGATTGTGGATATTTATACAATTATTTGCGTCCACTACGAAGGCATTCAAGTTTATATATCGCACTCATTATAATGACAAGCATTTCCTACTGAGAACGATGTGCATTGTACATGAAATTAGATGAAGTGAAAGCATGAAGTTGGACTCGGCCAAGAGCATATCGAGAACATATGCCCGCAGTACCGCGTAAAATGAATGCTAGAAGATTAATAATGATACGATGCGCTCGTATAGTGGGCATAAGAGTACGATTGAACCTAAACAATAGAACTGTGTTGCGATGATTTCCGATGTAAGATGAGTATTCATGCCGTTATGTAAATGAGCGTGACGCCAAAGATAGGGTCCTGATGCGGTATTAACAGGTTTGTGATTAAATGTCCTGCATGTGCTATGGGTATACACTTTGATGCCGAATTGGCGTCGAGCGGGTTTGGGGTGTCGAAACTGGCCTTCCAGGTGCAGTGTGAGCGTGCACTAATGCAGGTGGCTGATGGGAACGATGAAGGTCACTGCTATGGGAAGAGTGTGCAGCTTGGGAAAACCTTTTGTCCCGCAGATCTGTTTGGCTTCCGTACTTCCGATCAGCTGTAGCGTTACTGCTACTCGGGTGCCCGCGTGTATCATCGCTGGCACGCCGCTGGTGGTTAGAAAAGTGCCCGCGAGAATTAGGAGCAGCGCGAGATTTATGGTGGACGCCTTCTACGCTGTGGGTCGAAAAGCTGTTTTGTCGTGGAGACGAGGGAACTTGACCATGGGAAGGGTACGGTTGCAAGTGCGGCTGCGGTCCGAACTGATTCATCATGCCAAACTGGTTCATCATGAAAGCAGGGGAAGGGGGAAGTAAAGGGTCCAAGGAATAGAATGGCATGGCCATCATGGGAGAGATGGGAACCGGCGGAATTGGCTGAACGGCAAAAGGCGAAAACCGGCATGTTGCCCCAAGGGTTGTATGGTAGAAGTGACGCGCGTGGATTCGACAACGGCAACGAATATTGCTTTGACGGGTCAAATGCAACAGAGGTACGTTTGCTAATGTGTCGCCCATCCCGACCTCGTGCATCTTCTGATGAGGTGGTGTGAGTTGAGTAGACGGATGGAGGCCCCGAGAAGCTATGCTGGCTCCCCGGGGTAGCTGGCATCGAGCTGGCAGGAGAACCATCGCCAGGCGAGAGATTTGAAGAAGAGACCTTGAGATCCGTTGTCCGTTGGCGCATTGACGGTGACCCAGATGGGTGAGCACCACGGGATGCAGATCTATCACGTTCTATGTCCCGAACCAGGGAGGACGAAGAGGAGATATGGCCAGCTCTAGAGGCTTCTCGGCGGGTCCGCGAAGCCTGCAACTCCGAGGCGTAATTCTGGTGTCGTCTTTCTTCTTCTATTTTCTTCTTGTGGAGTTCACGAGCCTTGTGCTCCTCTTCCTGCTCTCTCATTTGCGCTTCCCACAACCGGCGTTCTTCCTCCCGCAAACGGTGTTCTTCCTCACGCGCGCGCCTGACATCCTGCGCACGCCGTCCCGCTTCCAATTCTCGCTTCTCACGCTCTTCACGAAGAAACCTGGCTTTCTCTTCGCGCCTTTTCTTGATACGTAGGACATAACCCAAGGGAATTTGGTCGTCCTTGCCTTCTTCCGCGAACCTGACACCTCGTTTGACAGCGGGTCTAGGGGTAGGCTCTGCTGCGTTGAGATTGCAAGTTTCCTTTTTAGATTCGTCCGGTGAGTCAACTGCAAGCGTAAGGGGCGAGAATTCAAAGTCTGCGACGGCAACGGAAAGGGTGGGTTTTTCCGTCGATGGCAATGCGACTGCGGCAGCCCCTGCAATAATGATGAACTAAAGGCACGAACAGTAAATTATTAAAGCTTACCAGAGGTAGGTAGGAACGGCTTAGGCTCTGCAGACGGATCGAAGCCATCATCAATGTCGGATAGTAAACCCGCCAGTATTTGTAACGGCTCCGATAATTCGAGAGCCGCGACACCAAGCTGTGACCCAGAGATGCCAGAGGTGACAATTTCACCGGAACGTTCCTGGCGAGTCCAGACAAGAACTCGGTCTTCGTAACAAGGGCGAGCCACCCAATTGCCGAGACCTTCGCTGTTTCTCCTTAAGAATTGTGCCTTCGGCCAAGTGTCGACATCGGGATTGTATGCCGGTGCTTCTTTCAGAGCCACGGACCGACTGCCAAGGGGTGCCAGACAGCGCTCCTCTGCGGGGGAGAGGGACTCCAGCCTGCTCAAGAGTAGTGCTTTGTGCATCTTGGATTCCAGGGTGTCTCGGCAACGAACATGTCCCACACGAAGACAAGAACGGGGGAAGGGTGTATTGTGGGGAATATCCAAAAGAGGAGGGCAAGGAAGGACGATCACAGTCAGCCGAGCTGTTGAGAATAATTACTCTCATACTCTTTCGTGCCTGGGTAATAGATTGTGAAAAGTTCTGAATGGGAGAATCCTGAAGATGATCTGCTTCAGATTCAGATTCAGATGACGTATCATCCGTTTCATTCGATGTCGGTTTCGGTGGAGGACGTAATGTGATCCCTGTCGTCGGGAAAGGCGGTAGCCAAGCTGATTTCGTGTCTGCTTCAACTCTGTCCAGGTTTTTCGCCCCTAACCATGATTTCCAGCTACCTTTCTGGCTGGGCATGCGTATGCGGGGCAACTCTTCATCGTCAGGAGTACGCAACTCCGCAGAGCCGGATGATGTTGAGGAGGAAGAACCGCTAGTGACGAGCTGTGTGGGTACTGCTTTTCGAGAAAGCGAGTTAAACATTCTAGTCTTCCGTTTCGTAGCTTCTTGTGGGGGAGGGTCGATGTTGTTGGATGACGGTGCATCAGGCTTGTCAGCACGTCTCGCAAAGAAGACAGAGGACATGCGACGCATGCTGGTCGTGGTTGGAAATGTAAAGAGCGAGGATATGCAAAAGAAGGCGACGCTAAACGCTTTAGAGCATTACAAATGGGACTGGAAGTTAATGATGTGATTCAATGTGGTTGAATTACTGCAGATGGAATAACCCGAATTAGCACGTTTAGCGGCGTCTCTCACCCTAGTCGGCTACTTATAGTTTGGACTTGAGAAATCACTGGTTTGCCAATGTGAACCGAGAAGTGCGCTACAGCTGTGGACACTGGATTTGCAAGGATTCCGTATGTAAACACATGCAGCTTTATATACTTCCCTCACACGAAGATCAAAGGTGCCTGACAATTCCGTCGGGTTCGTGTGAATCGACCCTGGATGCAGAGAAGCCTGAGTATTGATCATCGTTAATTACCCTGCTGACGACAGAATAGTTGGTGCCACGAGGCGTGCAAGTTAAAGCAAACCTGATCACGTATATGACGCCCACTATTTTTAGTGACGGCTCAGCGTCTGCCCTCAATCCTTCATGCCATCGAACAGCCTCTCTCCTTCTGACTCTTTCTCTTCCTTCTCTCGTCTTCGCTCCTTGTAATACCATCGCCGGAGTCGCCGCTCAAAGCGCTCAACTACCTCACACAAATAATCATCACTAACACCAACCCATTTAGCTGATCTCGTTATGATGAGCGCCTGCTCTTCTGGGAGGTTTCCCAGGACATCGCGAGAATGGTAGATGGTATATGATTCTCCGGGTTGTAGAACAGTCGTCTCGCCTATGTTAATTTTTGTGGCTGAGAGTCCTTCGACGATGCTGTGAGGGGCAATTGCTTCCGGTCGAGCGTCTCCGCTTTCAGTCGACAGTGGGAAGTAATTGTCCAGGATTTGTTGGTCTATTCGGCATCGTATTATTAACCACGACGTGATCCGGCAAAGAAGAATGCCTAACCTGATTCACCCCTTTGCGATTGTATCAACACCCGTTCGCAAAAGTCAAGGAATTCGTCTATAGTCGCAAGATCCATATCGCCGGTTGGCCTGGCGCCCTCTAGTTAGTTAGCCCGTGACGGAACCTTGGTGCCTGCTTCCTCACATAGAAACCTTGGAGCTAAATCGCTTTTCATTATGCCGGTCATCCGCTTCGCCCATTATCCTGAATGCCGATAGGTAACCACGAACATCTGGAAGGGCAGATGCGGGATCCTTTACATCACGTGGAAGCCTGACCTGTGTCAACCCCACTGCGTGTCTCACCAAAGCGAAACAATCACCTCAGTTTTCCGTCGAGGCCGTACACAAGTTTCAGTACAACTATTGCTGTAGCCACTAGTGCTAGCTCGGGCGGAATATTATCATAAATGTGGATGTCGGGATCGTCCGGTGTGATGCGACGTAACGTAGGTGACAGACTGTGATGAAGTGTTAACGGCAGCGACAGAATATAACCGAGTCTCTTTGCGAGCCCATACAATGTGGCTGAGGAAGAGTATTCATTACAAGTACAATTCAAAACTTCGGGGGAACATACGAGTGCCTCCAAGACATTGCTGCACAACCCGCCACAAGACGGGCGACGCGTTGAGCTCTGGCGTGAACACGCCATAATTCGCGTATATGAGCTTTGCCAAGCGAGAGGCGAAGCGGTGGATGTAAAGTGTGCTTGGGGCAAACTGTAAACGTGCTTGCGATTAGTTCGGTTGCGTAGAAAATCCGATTGTAATTACGTGAGGAGAGAGCGCGCGAACAGCGTGCTTGGTCAAATGACAGGTCATATCGGACGAGAGGAGGCGAAGAAAATCCAAATAAGGAAGTTCGTAAGATTCAATGACACTAAATTATGGGTCATTGTAAGACAAAAGGGCATACGAGCCACGACTTACTCAATGAAATCCTTGTACATCACAGGTAAGCGCATGGTCCAACATGCGACCACGAGAACAGCGATACAATTGACAGGGCGGTCATATGCACTGACAAATCGGTAATTCGACTGGACTCCTTGTTTTGGAGAAGTATGGTCCTTTTCTTCGTCAGAGGAACTTAGTTCGGAATTTTCACGCAGAAGCTCTGCAAGCTCTGGGTCTTCCTCTTCACTGCTAGAGGATGACGACTGGGGATCGTCGTCACCGGACCTAGATTCTTTGGGGTTATCTAATGACAGTTTTGTGTCACCGGTGTCGGAGTCACTGCCCTTCTGCTCCCGCATGTGGTGGTATGGTTCCGCAGGGGGTGGTCTCGGCAGAAGAGTCAAATGCAATCCCCATATATCTCTGCATACAGTCTGGGTCAATGAAGTGACGTCCTCCGAACGACTGAAAGAACACTAACCTCAAACTCGGGGGGTAGATCCCAAAGTGCGATCAATGCTGCGATCTGCCTCCGCAGCACTAGCTGCAAACATTGATAATAGTGAAAGCGAGCACGTTCGCCGTGATAGACTATTTTAGATTCGCTGAACGTTCGCATTACGAGGGTCTTTGAATCACTCACGCTTAGGATCGGCTCTGCTCTGCCTTGCGCTCTTCTTACGACCCGACTTGAGAATGCGCTTCCTCATGGTGTAATTACCTAGATCCTGTGTTTCGCCTGATTCATTTCTGAAGTTCTATCGAATGTGTTAACTTCTGGTGCACTCGTGCTAAATACAAGAAGTCGCACTCGCCTGTATGACATGCCCTTCGCTGCAGGCAACAAGGCCGCTCGAAGAGTCCTTGTGCCATTGCTTCGACCCACAGAGGGGACATTTGCGTCGTGGTGCCATGACTCATGGAAATGTTACGCTACAAAGAAGCAAACGCCCACGTGACAGGTATGTCCGGACACGTTTGGGATTACTTCTGTCTTCTTCGTTCCAACTTTTCAAGTTCGCCCTACACATTTAGTCTTTCTGCGCGCTCGCGACCGCAGTAAGACGTGGCCGTAACAGGTCGCAGATGAAGCTTTTCGTCTTTGTCGCATTTCTTGCCGTGCTGGTCACCGTAGTTTCAGCGTGAGTATCATCTTCTGCGTGTACACGACTACATTCTCTGACTCGAAACGCGTTTTATACTTTTTTTATCTTTGCCGCAAGCAGATGGACCAAAGTAAGATAGATCATTACACATCTCAATACAAGATCTCATGCAGACAGGAAGGAAGACCATGAAATATTTGATCTTGTCACTGCTCTTGAAGTATCTGAGGGTGTGTCCTAATTACTGCCTAGTGCTTAATCACAGAAAGTTGAGGCTCTACCCCCGTAGGCAGGGGCACCACGTTCTACTCTTGGCTGGACGTACCTTCAACAGCGACCCTTATGGAGATCAATAAGGCGTACAGGAAAAAAAGCATACAGCTCCAGTTGAGTACCAGTCCGGTGTTATATGCCATTGGTTGCTAAGTGTATATTTAGTCCTGACAAAAACCCTGGTGTGAAAGGCATCCATGAAAGGTTTGCGCGTCTGGGAGTTATTGCGACCATTTTGAAAAATCCCGAGGAACGTAAGCGGTAGGTAGACTCCACTCAGACTTCCTTCGAGTTCCGAATGTTTATTTGATTGCCCACAGATACGACTTTTTCTACAAAAATGGTGTACCGAAGTGGAGAGGGTCGGGCTATTACTATGCACGGTTCAGGCCAGGCCTAGGGGTATTTCATCATTTTTTGCCTGGATGCGAGATCCGGAATTCATTTTTGAATTCTAGACTGTCCTGGTATTCCTCACCATCCTTACGTCTGGACTTCAATATCTCGTGCAGACATTGAATTACAAACGGGACCTGATGCGCATTGAGCTGGCAATACGGGATGCCCGACTTGCGGCTTGGGGCCCAAAGATGGAACCATTGCAAGGAAAACGGAAGGTAGGATTGTTTTCTGAACGGGTGATTTAGAAATCTGGACATAGTTTTGCCTACAGGTGAAGGTCAACCTTGGCGGTGGCGCTCGTCAAGACGGAGCTGGTAATATTGTTCCCGGAAAAATGCTTGATATGGTCGTGGAACAAGACAACGTATTCATTGTACGTGAAGTACCGATATTACTCTGCGAAGAATGATACTAACTTATCAATTGAATAGCTGGATCCCTCGGGTAATCTGCACATCCTGGATACAAGTTCGGCTACTCCTGCGGCTATTTCAAGAACATGGTTCATTGAGCTATTGATCAGCAGTATTCGTAAATTCTCCTACTCCAAAGAAAACTCCGGAAACGACGTGGATAACGAGCCAAGCGTGCCCACTGTTGACAGGCCTGACTCTCCTGTGAGTGGAGCAAGCGAGGGTGAAGAACCTCGGCAGGCAGAGTATGCTGCAGCAGTAAAAGCTGGTGGGAGAAGAAGAAAGGCAGCGAGGAAGCGGTGACCATATGTCGTGCAGTTCTTCGGTACACTGGAGATTTAGGCTGACAGTTGTGGTATATGGTACTTACCTTGCTAATTACAGATTAGATGGGATGTTTTCATTGACCCCGTGGTCAAACAAGATCATGTGGGCCTTGGTTGGACATGTAGCTCCATAGTTACTGTTGATTCTTTGCGCCACCACTGTTGGCAGGTGACCATTACATCCTTGCAGGGTGGCGTAGCAGATGGTGATCGACAGTCGTTCACGGAAGGTGAATGATGAGATTTGAAACGCGAAGGTTTACGGGTCGACTCTCCGACAACGTCTGGAACATCAAACTTCGAAATTCGAACTTTCATAACAAACGAGCTCCGATATTAGCAGACCAGTAATACTTGGCTACATGACGAGCAGAACTCGGTAGGACACCGAAAAACATGCAAACCAAAACGAGGTTCCAGCAGATCGCCACAATATTAGTGTTGTTAAGCAGGTCTTTGGCTGCTTTTGGTCGGCTGAAGATACAAGCATTGATGCAGGGTGGGGAAGACACTACTCCGGGTTGAACACAAGGCAAGGCGGAAGCTGAACGCCGCTGCCATACACAGCAAGTTCTATTTGGGCCCAATTGGAGGACCGTGTCGGCCGATGAGGAGAAGCTCACATGTTCCTGTGGAGCTGCGAAAAGCCTTGGCCATTGGGACATGTGAGGTCTAGTGAGAGAAACGGGCCGATTCGTGAACATCGGACGCAGAGGGGGCAGTACGAGTACATCCAGGACCATCGATGACATGCGTAGATCCGAAATCATACTGCAGGGTTGAAATAATACTTTTAATGATTTCTTTCAAATAACGAAGCAGTGCAGATGACTACATGTAATTTCTTATCATCCAATCAGTACCAGGTGCCTCGGTAAACAATTGTCAACAAATGGGATACTGACCTCTCCATTTAAAGCGCCCTTGACTCCTCTCGTTCAGACCGTCATCACAAATCATATTCTTTGAAATGGCATATCAGTACCACAACGACCTCCTTGCCCCTTACCTTGCTTTGCCCCAGGGCGACAAGGTCCAAGCTGAGTGTGAGCTGCTTTTGCTCTCTTATCGATTTCAAAAGAAGTTTTCTGATCCAAATCTCAATCTACAGACGTTTGGATTGATGGCGATGGCGGTCTTCGTTCAAAGACCACGGTCGGTCATCGCGAATCATTGTCGATCTAGTAATATATATTGATCTTCCAATTCCAGACTGTGAGCAAGAAGGTCACTGATATTGGCCAGCTGCGCATCTGGGATTTCGATGGTTCATCCACAAACCAAGCCCCAGGCAGTGACTCAGACGTCTATCTCCGTCCCGCCGCTATTTTCAAGGATCCTTTCCGAGGTGGTGACAACATTCTTGTTCTTGCCGAGACCTACAATAATGACGGCACCCCCAATCGAACCAACTACCGCCACCACACTAAGAAGGTCATGGATCTCGCAAAGGACGCTGCTCCCTGGTTTGGTCTCGAGCAGGAATATACCCTTTTCGATGCAGATGGCACGCCATTCGGCTGGCCGAAGGGTGGTTTCCCCGGACCCCAAGGCCCGTACTACTGCGGTGCAGGTACGCTTCTTTTAGCCGCCCAGATGTCCTCATCGTTAATTTCGCTTCGTTTTTAAGGAACTGGCAAAGTTATTGCTCGTGACCTCATCGAGGCTCACTACCGTGCCTGCCTATACTCCGGCGTGAACATCAGCGGTATCAACGCTGAAGTCATGCCCTCCCAATGGGAGTTCCAAGTTGGCCCTTGCGAGGGTATCTCCATGGGTGATCATCTCTGGATGGCTCGTTACCTGCTCGTCCGCATTGCCGAACAGTGGGGCGTCAAGGTTTCCTTCCACCCTAAGCCTCTTGCAGGGGACTGGAACGGCGCTGGTTGCCACAGCAACTACAGCACCAAGGCCATGCGTGAGCCTGGAGGTATGAAGTACATTGATGAGGCCATCGAGAAACTTTCAAAGAGACATGCTGAGCACATCGCTGTCTACGGCGAGGACAATGACCTCCGTCTCACTGGCCGTCATGAGACTGGCCACATCGGAGACTTCAGTTCTGGTGTTGCTAACCGTGGTGCTTCCATCCGGGTGCCAAGGCACGTTGCTGCCCAGGGTTACGGATACCTAGAGGACCGTCGCCCTGCTTCCAACGTTGGTCAGTATATCATCTTTCTGCTCGTTTGTCCCGTTATTAACTTGTATTTTTCTGAATTAGACCCATACCGCGTGACTGGCATTATCGTAGAGACCACTCTTCTTGACAAGTAGAAGTTTTTTTTCGCTGTACTTTACTACATCTGTTTTTGTTGGGACGCAGTCGAACCAAAAAGGCCTGTATGAAATCAGTAATAATTTGTTCCGGTGCTTATGCGATGTGCACTATCAGTGACTGCTTTTTACACTCGGGAATACCGCAACTTAGGTGCGTTACTAATGGAATGACTTCGCTCCGTGGAAACAAACAGCTGTTTGTTAGTAAGACTACCACTAGTCAACCCTTGCAGATCTCACGCTATAAATATTATCCAACCAAGGATCATTGGAGTGTTAATGTGCCCCCATTCTTAGGTACTTGTGGCATGCTGGAGCTTGGAAGGGTAAAGCGTGCATAACAACAACAGTCCATTTTACATCAAATATTTATAGTCTTGTTACAGAATAGCTATAGGCACGAGCTGAATTTATTTATTTCGTTTGTTTGGTGTTGTTAGGATCGAAAGGCCTTGATTGCTTAAATCGGTCAGTCCCAAACGCTATCGCACTCTTAAGAAGTTAGCAATGTTATGGATCCGCAAGACAGAAAATTAACTCTACCTGCCTTTCTCAAAGTCCTCACGAGCAACAATGTGCCTGTACCCAAAGCAATGGCGGTGGCCAGCAAAGTGTTCGTCTGTTCAATTAGCAAGTCTGTATGAATAACTGTGATCTCAGGTACAAGGAATCCAATACGGCTAGCCTCCTTGCGCAACTTACAGATCTGAAGCTAAAAGTCAGTGGCGTGGAAGACAAGGAAACGCGGAAACTCGTGCTAGCTGCGGTTCGCAAAGCCGGGTACATTGCGCAGCCCTTGCGGCCGGGTTCGGAACCGAAACCAAAAAGTGACAGATCCAAGCGTTTTGATGGACAGCCCGTAGTAGGTCCGTCTGAACCGAGGGTTGCGAATGCAGTGCAGGTCGTGGTGAGTCCACGTTCCGTTGCATAATTTGCGTGCTAAATTACATAGACCACGCCAGTCAAGCGGAAGCGGAAGCGGGACGACGACTTACTAAACGAGCTCCTTCCAGACGGACCTCCGGACGAAGCTGCTGCGTACGGCAGCTTGGAGTTTAATGAGGTATTAGATGAGACGGTACCGTTCAATTATCCACTCGTTCAATCAGATGTGTTCAGCACGTGTCTTTTTAGGTTCTCAACACGAAGTTTACGGTTGTGAATCGTGCGCCATTGATGACAGCCTGGGCAACTGTAGTTGCGGAGCGCTTAGGATTTGAGCGGGAGGAAGCGCTTAGCATTGGTACGTACCAGCCAGTTGGCATGGTGGATGCACTCAAACGTCACGAAGCTTCCGTTTATACTGAAATGAATGCAATATCAAAGGGCGTGTCCTTAGGTCTCTTTGACAAATCACGTGAGAAAGAGATAGAACCTATCAAGGATAGCACACAACCTTATGTCGACTTACTAGGAAGAAGGTACGCTTCTTGGCAGGTCTTGGCGTCTTTTACTGACAGCGTGATTGTTGATAGAATGTATGTCCATCTGTCTGTCTATGTACACGTTCTAACGTTCTGTGGCCATTCTGCCAGACCCCTGTATCGGACACAGAACGAGACATGGCGTGCTCTGGACAACACCTCGCCGGCTCTCCCCAGTACAGCATTTTCGTATATATCTCGTGCGTTTCGACAGACGACTCCGTACGTCATTGGCGCCCTTCGATTGTTGGCCGAAAGTTTCCCGCCCCCAGAGCTCAATAACAAAGGTTTTGGATTGTATGCCGAATTCAGACCTGATGTAGATGGGTGGGGTAAGCGTGGCGAAGTGCGTTGCGAACAAATTCTATCACTCCGGAAGAAGGACAGAAGCACTGTCGCTGAGACCGCTGTGAAAGGCGACGTTGTAAAGCTGGAAGCTAATCACGATTCGAGACCAGCTCAGGGTGCGGGTGGGATACAATCTGGTACGTCGGAAGGACCGGAACACAAGAAAGCACGAACGATGACCCTGGAGGAGTACGAAGCTGCATTGGATCAGGATGACACATTTGATGATGTAGACCTGAACTTTGAATTTTAATTCAGCAATGAATCTGATTCAATTCGGATTACCATAACGCCATGTTGTCGTTACAGAGCATCGGCAGAACACTTCTGTATTCAACAAGTCCCCTTCTTGGCGGTGTCCAAAACACCGGTGCCATCGACTGCGTCATTGGGTGTAGTGCGATGTTGATCGGCTTTCATCATGATTGCACTACCCTTACCATATTTTCGACATTACAGCCCAATGGCGGTGGTGAGGGTGCGTCTAGGAGGCGACTATTCCATGGACAGAGGACTTTGGAAGAGTAAAGCGACGCGTTATCTTCTGCGTTCAAGGGTGCGCAGTGGCAGCCTAGATGGCAGGGGTAAGGCATCTGTTTGTGGCATTTTCCAATTTTTTCTGTGCATTTCTGACTTTTCTGGTGGCGTGTCGATAAAATTTTATATTATTGACCTCGGATGAACTGTGATGCTCCCCTGGTCAGTCGTCTCTTGCAATCAAACATCCACATACTGGGTGTGTCGCCTCACACACATTGTACTTTCTTCTTCTGACCAGCTGCATACAACAAATGTCCCGGGAATATCAGTGATAGATGCAGTGAGTATTTTATTTTGATACCTGCGTTCCCGTCCAGTAAACTGTACTCTGATGTAGGGGACTCTTAAGCAGCCCATCAATTCACTATAATGACTGCCACAGCTGTGAGTTTGTTCGGAGTGTGTGATCCTCCGAGGTTGATCGCAAACCGTATTTGTTAGGCCATATTGTGTACGTCGTACTATATTGAGTATGGTCGTAGCTGTGATACTGAGCGGTGCCATGGTTCAGGCGGTGAGCTCATTAGCGAATACCAGGGGAGCTTTTTCTCCCCGACACCTATCTGTGTGCTGTGAAACAATAATTGTTGTTGGAATTCACGGGAAGTGCTTTACAGCAATCCAGACCGCGAGAGATGGTGCAAAGACTTTCCATACAGTCCCGAGCCATGGAATCTAGGAGTAAGATGTCCCCCTCAAAGTCACAGTGTTGATGAAAACTCACGCGGTCTACCGTCACTTTTCGAGGTAACAGGTTCGTTGGGTTATCTCCAGTGATATCGACGGTATGCAGACCTGTGACTATCCTTTACATGTCACCATGGTTTATGATTTCTATAGGACTTCTATTCGCTGAGCGTTCAGATTTATATTGTGTTAGTTGGATCTTTCGGCTCGTGCAGAAGTTTGTGCTGGGACCACGCCTGATGCTTAGCCTCCGAGGATGTGAACGTTAAGCTCGTAAGTCGACTCCGATGCAGAGACCGACATGACTTCAATTGTTTTCCAGGAGTAGGCCGCCGCCCGCCCGCCATGTGCACAATGCACATGTAATACTGTGTAGCACGAGAAATGTTCGATATGACGAACTTTTCTTGAGCACACCCTATATCAGGGGGCGGCCGGGAAAAGTTTTGTCGTGGTATGTGATATATATTAGTTATCCGGTGTCAAAGTCAACATGCATCAGGAAAGAAGTAATTGATTCCCGTTGCAACATTATGTGAACAAAACCCCCTCGTGCTCGAATATTTCTATGGACGATGAGGTCGCTTCAAGCTGGCGTATCCGATATATAAATTTATTGGCAGAGCGAGGTATAATATTGCTAGGGGGATATACTGCTCGACGGTGCCAAGACATTACGATCTCTGGTCACCGGCTACCGTCATGGGGTAATACTCAGGCCTCAGGCCCAGGCTCGTCTGTTACTATATGGCCCTCGTGGTCCTGTCGAATGCCATGGGCAACACAAATTAACAAAAACAATTTTGGGCCCAACCGGGAATTGAACCCGGGACCACCCGCAGCTTCAACACCTTGTGTTGGGGATCGCTCCCGAAGCGGGTATCATACTACTAGACCATTGGGCCTTGGATTAGGGCCCGCCATTGATTCATATGACCACAAGGAGAGAATTCGGTTTATTCTCCGACGGTGCGCAATTTGACCCCCTCAGTCTTTCATCTCGAGTGAGGACGACATTATGGCATGCAGCTGGAACCATGCGGTCGCGAAGTCTGTTGTGCACTGTAACGGGACGGACTGCAAGGGAAACCAAGGCCAGCCCTCTATAGCGGGAGGCTACGGCTCTATCTATGCAGGACTGACTACGACACACCGCAGGACTACCAGCCAGGACCCCTGCTACTCCCGATCTAATCTGTCCTGTCAGAGCGCCCCGAGTATGCGAAGACCTATACCTGAATCTCGGTGTCTGGATATGGGCCGCCACTAAGGAACTACGGAACACATGGGAGGTAGTCCTGACTGGAGGTTCCGTGCAATTATCTGCGACAAGCCTACCGTCGCGACTCGAGGAGAAAGACATGGAATACGCCTTCATCACCGAGGTGCACATTGATATCGTTCAGCCACTGCTCATAAAGGTGCAGTCTACGGTGGAAGGCGCAAGTGGAATATGATCTAGTGTACAGAGGAAAGCGCAGACGAAGAGTATATATAAAGCGACTTGAACACTGGACTGGGACATAATGATATCACACTGATGAACTCAACATTGAATATTGAATACTATATAACAGCCATGAATATGATCCATTAATGCACCGTTCATAGCATAAATGAGTGTTCTGGAAATCGTACGTGACGGCTGCGAAGCCTATCTACATCTAGTGCCACATCTATACAGCATGTCAGTCAACCCCACATCCCGCACCTGTTGCGTAGTACAAAGACTACGAAGACAATTTAAAGTTTTTTGATGATAGCATTGGTGAATTCCGATGTCGTTGCCGCACCTGCAGATGAAGCAATGGGAAAACGAGTCTCGATAGATCACGGGGTATTACTCACCACCCATATCTGCGGTCCTGACCTCTCCGGCATTGATGACATCGAAGGTCGCGCTTGCAATACTGTTGGCAATGGAATCGAGACTGTGGGAGGAGAGTGTAAGAATTATGGGAACAAGGCCATACCGGAAAACATACCCAAGATGTCTGAGCATCATGGTGGCACTCAAAATCATAGCAGTAGGGTTGGCACGGTTGGTGCCCATAATATCTGATGCAACGTGTCTACATCCAGGCTCGAAGAGGGCATAGTCCTGAACAAATATTAGTACCAAGTGGAACCAAATCCAAGTGTGCGACATACACGGCCGATGTTGCATCCTGGAACAATACCAGGTCCGCCGACAAGTGCGGCGCCAATGTTGGAAATGATGGCACCGTACAAATTGGGCATGACCATGACATCGAACTGGCCAGGTTTGGCCACCAGTTGCATGGATCTAGGTGGTATTAGCCGACCGGAGCGGAAAGGGGAGAGAAGCCTTACGTGTTGTCGATAATCATATCATTAGACACGATGCCTAGAGATTTATACTCCTCCGCAATTCGACGGAAGGTGTTCAAGAAAAGACCATCACCAAGCTTCATGATGTTGGCCTTGTGCACACAAGTCACTTTCTACAAAAGAGTGCTTGTCAACACAGCTCAAACCGGAAATGAAGGTCACAACCAACCTTGCGGTTGTTCTTGAGGGCAAAGTCAAAAGCGAAGCGCGTGATACGCTCCGCCTTGGCCCTTGTGGAAACCTTCAGACTTTCCACTACACCAGGATAACTCTGGTGCTCCAAGCCAGAGTATTCACCCTCGGTGTTTTCACGAATAATAGCAAAGTCGACGTTGGAGTGGCGTGTGGGGAATCCAGGGAGAGACTTGCACATCACAACAGATGCATAAATATCGAGTTGTTGACGCATGGCAACGTTCCATGAGATATGACCGGTTTGAGAGATTGGCGTGAAGAGAATACCTATGACGACAAAGATGAATGTTGTTTCTTTGTGTCTGTGACTCAGTAGGAAGAATAACTTACCCTTGAGACCAACTCTGTTGCGCTTGAGACTTTCCATTGCCTGCTTGAAAAGATCCTCCCCTGCTGAAGATACACCGGAGACATCATACTGCTCCCACTCGATGGGCGCATTTACATGCTCGAAGATCTCCTTGACAGAGTCTGTGATTTCACCGCCAATACCGTCACCGGGTATGAGGGTAACCTGAATACGCTCGATACCAGCACTATATCCAAGGGTAGATCCACGCACCGTATATACGCCGCCGTACTTGGTCGGTAGCTGATGATAGCATCGATACGATAAGTTCGGTAACGCTATTCGGTTGGGCGCGGAACTTACTCTTTGCGTGACTTTTGGAAAACCAGCCGAAAGAGTGGTTATAGTTCGCTTGAAAAAAAAGTGAACATCACGCCATATCATAAATGCAATTACCTACCGACTGCTGAAGAGCAGGGCGGGCCACCGCCGACAGAGCGTTGCGGAACATTACTTACAGATGTTGTGGAATGAAGGAGAGAAACGGAGAGTTGTCGTACAGCTAGCGGGTCGGTTAGTTGTGGTTTTAGACATAAATTGTAGGAAAAATATGAAGAGAGGCGCCGCGCCGTGTAATCGGTTCACTTCATTTATTTCGATTCCGCGTTCGTCCGTGCCAAAATTGCTCCCATTTCACTCACTCTCTCTCCTTACAAGTCCTCCTCCCTCAGTTTCATTTCCAAAAGGCTCAATGGCTGCCGCCCGTACTGCTTTTTCTCGTGTTGCTCCTGCTATCGCAAATGTTCGTGCACGTCCTTCGTTGGCTCTAAAACGTGCTGCTTTCGCTCGCGGATATGCGACAGCAAGTGAAAACTCGGTAGGAGTTGCGCGTCATTCTCATGTATCATGGCAATTCTGAATCATTTCGTAGATGACAGTCCGTGACGCACTCAATGTTGCTATGGAGGAGGAGATGGTGCGCGACGAGAATGTCTTCATTCTCGGTGAAGAGGTAGCTCGCTACAATGGTGCCTACAAGGTCACCAAAGGTCTTCTTGACAAGTTCGGCGAGAAGCGTGTCGTTGATACTCCCATCACTGAGATGGGTTTCGCTGGTATTGCTGTCGGTGCTGCACTCTCAGGTCTACGACCAATGTAATACACTCTTTTCCTTCTGGCGTGTTTTTCTC